TAAAGTTGGGGAGTGCAGAAAACTCGCATTATTTTATTGAAACTCCTTTATATCCAGAGAAATTTGAAGTTTCGGCTGCTATAAGCAAGCCACATAATGCAGGATCCATATTTTTCAAAGAGATTCTAAATTATAAAAGATACCGTCAAGAAATTATAACTCAATCTATATTTCAATCGATGAATGATTAATTAATAGAATAATATTTTCAGTAAGACACGGGCACGAATTCATACAACTCTGCAAAATTTTAATTTTATTATGGACTATTTCGACAATCGGGGCATAAGTTTAAATACGCCTATTATATTCCCTATCGATCCTGTGATTTGACTATTTGCCATTTCTTTTGGTATCCACACTTAAAAAATTCTATTTTTAAAACTCCTGTCGCGGATATAATAGATCTTAGACAAATAATAGAGAATCATATTGAAGAATTATATAATACTCCGTGAATCCTAAACAATGTTATAGACTACGTTATGTAGAAATGTTGGTGATGGTACTACAAAATTTCAATTTGTAGTAACAAAGTATCACTACCTTCATTTAATCATATAAACATTAACTGCATTGAGAGTAACATAACGATAAAAACAATCTCTAAAATAAAATATCTAGGCATAACTATAGATCACTTCTTCTTCTAGTTCCATGACCGTTATCGATCGCTGGATATCATGTTGGCTACCATATTCGCTATCGTGACTTTATTGACAGCAGCTCTAAATAACGATGTAGTTGATTTTCCATACCATTGCCTTAGATTTTTCAGCCATGATGTTCTTCGTCTACCCGGACCACGATTACCTTGGATCTTTCCCTGAATGATCAGATGTAAAAGACCATATTTTTCAGGGTGTCTCATAATGTGACCGAAGTATTCCAGCTTGCGTTTCTTTATTATATTGACCAGTTGTGTTGTTTGGCTCAGCCGTCTAAGGACCTCCTCATTTCTAACTCTGTCGACCCAGCTTATTTTCAGTAGTCGTCTGTATACCCACATCTCAAAGGCTGTCAAGCGTTTAAGCATAGCCTCAGTTAGATTACAAGCTTCCACTCCATACAGCAGGACAGGAAAGATGTAGCAAGATGACATACGAACTCTAAGGTCAATGCTAAGATCGTGACTGCAAAGTACGTTTCTTATTTTTACAAAGGCAGCTCGGGCTTGTTCTATTCGGCTTTTAATTTCTGCGGTTGGATCCCAGCTCTCATTGATATTACTGCCGAGATACACGAGTTTCTCTACTCTGTCCAGTGTGGCATCTCCGACTTTTATACCGTCATCCTGTATATAATTTTGTTTGCTAACTATCATATATTTAGTTTTCTTAACGTTGAGTTTTAATCCATACTGATCACAAGTCTGTTTTATTTTGTTCATTAGATTTTGAAGGTCTTCTCCGTAATTGGCAAGGACTAAGGTATCGTCGGCATATCTAATATTGTTGACGGTTACTCCATTCACAATAATACCTTCGGTTGTCTCCATTAAGGCTTCCTTAAATATTTCCTCCGAATATAAGTTAAAAAGTAAAGGCGACAATATACAGCTTTGTCTCACTCCTCTTTTTATATTTATTTCATCCGACAGTTCTTGTTCAACCTTTAGATATTCTTGCCCCTTGATGCCAGTATAGATTTGTAATTATTTGTAGATCTTTATCGTCCAAACCAGCTGTTTCCAATATTTCTATCATTTTGTTATGTCGGACTTTGTCAAAAGCTTTTTCAAAATCGATTGCACAAATGTACACATTTTGATTTATATCTGTGTATCTCTGTACTAGCACCTGTATACCAAACAAGGCTTCTCTTGTACCCAAGCCACTCCTAAACCCAAATTGAGTATTGCTAATTCTGTCCTCTAACAGCGTGTAAATTATGCTGTGTATTACTTGCAGGAAGATCTTCAAAACGTGACTCATCAGACTTATTGTCCGATAATCACCGCATGTCTTTGGACGATGTTTCTTAGGTATTGTGACAAATGACGACTTTAACCAATCAGTTGGTAATATCCCAGTGTCATAAATTCTGTTAAAGAGATTACACAGAGCTTTAATTCCATTTTCTCCCAAAAACTTTAGTATTTCAGTACTTACTTCATCGGGGCCAAGTGCTTTTTCATTTTTTGCCGTTTGTATTGAACCTCTTACCTCACTTTCTGTTATAAATGGACCTGATATAGCAATCGGTGTATAGTGTTCTACTGTCTCATCTTCAAATAATTCAGAAATGTAGTTTTCCCATTCTTTTAACTTTTCATTGATGTCTAATCTAACTATAGATCACATGTATGGGATAAGCATAAAAATATGAGTGAACTAGCAAAATGCTTCACAAGCGAATGAAATCCATATTTATATACCTACATATTTATTTATATCTTTAATGACAAATAGGAATTAAACAAAAAAGTGCAGTCTTTACAACAACAGATTTTTAGATACAATATTGAAGATATATTAAGCGTTAATTACTAACGCTTAATAAATCTTCGATTTTCGACTGTCCAAGCAAGCATACCCATTAACGAGCGGCTAAGTCGCGTATTTTTTTAAAGACAGATAAGGTAAACGTATTGGAATATTACGCACAATTCGGGTTTTTGGCAGATCTCAAACGGTAATACCGATAATGAGATGTTGATTAGTGTTTATGACACCTAGTAGAAAGATGTGAAAGGAAAATATTAAGACGCATAGTCGGAGGACGGAAGACAGAAGATGGTTGGGAGAGAAGAACCAACAATGAATTACTGGCTTTATACCAAGAACCTACCATCACCAAGTTCATCAAGGCATAAAGAATCAGACGGTTGGGACATGTGGAAAGAATGGCAGCAAACAGAATGCCTGAACTAGTAATAACCAGAAAATTAATCAGCCCCAAAAGAACAGGTAGACCCAGAACGAGGTGGATTAGAAAAGCGGAGGAAGACCTTAAACACGTGAAGGTGAGGGACTGGAAAATAAAAGCACAAAATAGAAGCGAATGGAGAAATATTGTACACCAGGTCCTTCAGAGTAGTTAATAATGTTATATATACATATTTAAGTTAAAGTTTTGTTTAAAATAATTGTAATTAGTTATGTAAAAAATGCCCTAGGCCTTAACGGCCTGTTGTGCGTAAAAATAAATAAAATAGTAATATCAGGTACTCACAGCATAAATTCCAGCTAAATCCTACAATAAGAATTACTATAATTTAAAAAACAAAAAAAGTCAACTTTTGCGTCATAATCCCGACAGGTAAGGGGTAATATGAGGCACTAGGTGTTGGGGATATGACTTATGGAAAATTCCTGGTACACCAAAAATAAAAACTGAGAGTGATTAACTTTGCAACTTTTAATAAAATGAGGTGAAATAAAACTGTCTACACAACTGACATGGTATTAGGGAATTTAACAACAAAATTGAAGTGTCCACGACGAACATTAGGTTTTGGATGGATTTTCTTAATTTGTTCCATTTTAACAATGCCGATGTCTTCAGCTAATGAAAAGACGAACTGAACCTTTCCTTTCTTCATAAAGTTATCTTCCACGCCATCATTGTTGATGCTAATGACTACGCCCACATAATATAATGGTCTGCTCTTTTCTGGAAACTCAACCAATACGTAGTCGTCGACGTTAACACTTTCTACACATTGGAGGAAATCTTCCTCATCAACAATTTCATCATCGGAGGATTTTTCGTCCCACTCGCCTCCAGATGATGATGGCAATTCTTCTTCTAGTAAGATCTTCTTTTTTGTTGGCTTTTGAAGCTTGAATGTCTTCTCCTGCTTTGCAATTTTGATTGCTCGTTTAGCCTTCTTAGCTTCTATATTTTCAGGCGTTGTCAAAAGTTGAGCATGCTGATTCTTTTTCGCTACGGCAGGAGCATCACATTTTGGTACTGGTGACACAATTTGTATAAGTTTAGTAGGAGTTGCTTTTGTGGTTTTATGAGAATGTGGGTCAGTAGACTTCTTCTTTGGAGTATTAAGTGAGAGTGAATCAGATGTGCTGGGTTGAGGATCCAAGGCTGAGCTAACACTTTTCTCGTCCTTGTTCATAGAGTTGGACTCCAGGGTTTCTTGTAGGTAAGCGCAATCAGGAATAGAGGAGGACGCGAATGGAAACACCCGGCAGGCCCGGAAGCCTACTGAGCCCGTAGACATTGTTGCAGCTTGTGACCAGGCTTTCTGTAGAAGTTGGCCGAAGTGCCTGCATTCTATCTTCTTTGAAACATGGCCGCGTGCCATAAAGAACCAATAGAAAAGTCCTAGGTGCTAAGAGAAACATGTAGGGGTCTACGTAGTTAGATATTCTCAACAAAAGTCTCAGATGAATAGACTATTTAATGAGATTCAGATGCCGTATATTTGCACGTTTCGAAATTGATGATTTTGAAAAATGTACTAAAAACCGTAAGTTTAAAGCTTCTTAACTCAGAAGCAATTGATTTTTGAGTCTTGGTACAACGATAACTTTTGATCAACATGACCAATGTTTCAGCAAAGTTTCAGCCAATTTAACTAAAACCACTTTTTCATAAGATAAGTGCCGGAATACTTTCTACAGAAAACGTATAGGTTTTCTTATTATAGGTATAAATTAGCGAAAAACCAATACGTCCATGCGAAAAACTCACCAAATATCTGCCTATTGCGAAGTTCTAAACATAGTTAAATTTTGGATATTTTTCTGGAATATATGTTAACAATTATGGTTGTTAATTACACTAAAATGTCCCCGTATATTATAGAAATAATTCAGTAAATATTTATATCTCAAAATTAATCGTGATATATATTAACTGTACTAAATTTTTAAATAACCTGAATTAGTTCTTCGAAAGTGCGAAAGGTGTAAATAAGCCAAATGCAAACATAACTGTTATAAAATGGAATATTTATTTAACAGTTAATTTGTATCTATTTCATGAAACTATATTTACTATTCTAGTAAATATCCAAAGTAAGTCAGTGTACAATCAAAATGCATTCTTTTGTATTAACTTTGCTGATTTATTTAACTATACAAGGAAATGTTGTTTCCGAAAGTCAAATTATTTCTGAAAACGAAATTTCTGAGGACTGGGACGATTTTGGGACGAATTTAATTCATCCTTATAATAGTAGTGAAAGAAGTGGAAAATGTAAGTACATAATTATTTATTATAATCGTACATTTTCAAATGATCTAAAAGTTTATTTTTTTTATGAAATAATGTGACTAACGTTTTTGTTTCTTTGTCTTCTTTTCCAGATGCATTTTTATGTCCTTACTTTGTTAACTATTTACTTATTTAATTAGCTCAACAGATCTTGGAGACATAGGGCTTAAAAGTTGAACTCCTAAATTGTAAGACTTCTTTAACATTAATACTCCATATCTGTCGTGGTATTCCATTTCTTCTGTTATGTAAAACCAGTATTGTACATAGGACTACTGCAGGACTAATTTTAACATTCTTTCTTCTTCTTCTAACAGTGCCTATACGTTCCGGATGTTGGCGATCAGCATAGCTGCCATAACTTTTATTTGAAGCTATTCGGAATAGTCTGGTTGTAGACGTATTGAACCACTTACCTTAGGTTTTAAAGCCAAGATATTTTTCTTCTCCATGGTCCAAACACCTTGCCCTGAAGAATCAGTTGCAAGTGCAAGTTGCAGTGTTCATTTCTCATAACATGGCAAAGATATTCTAATTTGCCCTCTTTGATTGTGTTAGTGATCTCGCATTTCTTATCTATTCTACGTAGGACCTCAATATTAGTCACACAATCCACCAATGGAATTCGTAAGATGCGCCTGTAACACCACATCTGCAAGATCCAAGAATACAACGATGTTTTATTCGCAATGGCAGTCCTTAATTTAGTTTATTGAATGAATATTTATTGTAACTCCATTTTACTCAATTAAGTACATAATTTTGGTTAACCCTGTAGAACTAAATATTCGAATAATACATCGTTGCAAAGTTGACTAGGAACCCTTCCATCCTATCTTGTTGGATTTTTTTCTTTTTGTCATATTCTTTCCAATCAGAAAATCGTTTTCGAAAAATTTTAAAATAAAAGTTATACATGATATCAACCTGTAAATATTTATAATTGATCAATTATAAACAATTACAGATTAAGATTAGGTATTCATGCTATCCTTTTAAAAGCCATAATATACTGAAAATATGTGCGGTAGTACATTCTAAGTATATAAGTAAAAGGTTTATAGCACTACCTTGGAATATTCTAAAAGTATATTCTGTCCACATACTGAAAGGATGTGCGGTAGTACATTCTAAGAATATCATTAGTAGGTTTAAGTACTGTAATGTCTGCTGTATACTTAGCATCTGCTCTGCACACTCTCAATGGTGATTACACATATTCTTAACATACACTGTTTCTGAAAAGTAGGTAATGTTCTTTAAATCTATTAAGAACATGAAATTGTTATGTGGGTTCTTCTTTCTTGTTACCGTCTAAAAGAAATGTAAATATATATCTTTGCAGTTTTCGGGGTTGGATTAGTAAGATTTGCAAATAATCCATGCACCAGCGGCAGCATGGTAATAGGAACTTGCCTTAGAAGAAGGCAATGTATGGATCTAGCTGGTACACCTTCAGGTACTTGCGCTAATAATATAGGCGTTTGTTGTGTTAGTAAGTATCCTTTATTTATTACATTATATATCAAAATTATATATTATTATAAATATAATAATAATTATATAATAATATTTATAATATATTATTATAAATATATTATTATAAATTATATATTATTACATTATGTATCAAAATTCATGTAAAAGACATTCATAAACAGCTTTAGATTACCAAAGTTGTTTTATATGGAGAAAATAGAAAACAAGTTACCTAAAAAGGAATAGAACTATTCGTTTTAACTGATCTGCGTGTCCACGTTCAATTCATTTGATTTTTTATTTACTATATTAAATAAGAAACTACTTAGAGTATTAGGGTAAACTGTGCAAATACCGGTCAGTGGGTAATGGCGGTCATCCCGATTGTGCGAAATCTATTCAATCTGGCAACCTACTATAACTGCCAACGTGTCGCTACACTACTCTGTATTCAGATTGCTGACGAGCGTTGAGTTGGCGCAAACCATTGTCATAGAAATATTATTAACCTGTTTTCAGTGTTTTCGATCTTATTTTTATGCTGAGTAATATATAAGGTCTTAATTCATTTTTATTCACTTGTAGATCTTAAAATTGGTTACAATTGATTATAATGACGTTAGCTGCCTATTCCTTTTTTAAAGATCAATATTTTAATACATGTTTACGAGTAAAAAATTCTAAGAAAAAAAATGCCAACAGGAGGCAATGCCGGTCAGTTGACCGGTATTACCCCCATGCTATAATTTATACCCTATACTATTAATCCTTAGGGATTAATCCATCCATTTTTCGACATTGCAAGAAAGAATAAAAAATAAAAATCTTCAAGGTGTCTCATTAGGTAGAAAATCAGTATTTTCTGCCGAACAAGAAGCTAAAATAGCCACACAAAAAAAAATATTTACCTTAATTTTTTATGGCGTAACAGCAATAGAACTGAGAAAATTAGCATTTGGGTTTACAAGATAATTTTTCTTGTAATAAAACACCTATTTCTTGTAATTGGCATTACAAGAAAAAGGTGTTTGATTCTAGTTATTTGGAATCGGACATTGATATATCATGTGATAACAGTGACGATGCATACGAAGATAGATGCCTGGTTTACAGCGAGTTTGGCAAAAACAATGAATTGTGGTATATATTTACCGTTTGCTCACGATGGGCTTATTCAGAGTGCAGTGGATGGGATTCTGCAGAGAGTTATACCTGCGATGACTGTCAACTATTTTTACATTAAAACACATATTTTTGTTATTTTTTGTTTGTTTTGTAATAAAAAATATTTTTTCACCTTTCTTACTGATTTACTTGAATTATGACCCATTAAGCCACATTCGTTAATCGTTTTATAACAAAAAAATGTTAAATAGATATTGATTTTTATTTTAATAATAACACAAACAAATTTACTGGCATTACCCACACTCATGACCGGTATTGTCCATGTATGGTGACAATACCGGCCAAAGATACTTTTTTATGTTTTGTCTGTCAAAGACAAAAATTTTATATTTTTTAAATTAAATGTATCTTGCAATAAGTTAAAACCCCAAATTACGGATTGACGGCTTAAATTTGATTCACAGAGTTTTACTTTTTTTATATTAAATTTTCTTCTTAGGTGACCGCGATTTGCACACTTTACCCTAATAATGAAACGTTTATAGTATGCACAAATATAGTCTATTACAGATGTTCTCGAGTATGATCCCACTTCACTTACACCATACAAATTTAGAACGATATTTACACCAAAAAATAAGTTGCACGGCTCATAAAGTTGACTCCATCTATCTATTGTCCGTCGGCAAACTCAAATAATTACCACCTTTAGATCAGACAAATTATTATATTTTTTACCACCAAAAATGAGATGTTTTAACCAAATCATGCTTCAAAGCGTTTACTTTACAGTTCTAAAATTACTATAGTCTGGCAAATATGAAATGAAACTATAATTCACAAATCACGCGTCGTAAGTGGTCAAAAGTTGCCGAAATCACGTGTCTACCATGCATTCTCGGAAATTTTTAATTCAAACATTAGCGGCGCGTAAGAAAATATGTTTTCTTGCTGGCCACTTTACATTGTAACAATAAAATATTATATTTCTGCTTATAATAATAAAAATAATACGTCTACAGCTGCTCTAGTTAGACAAATAGATTCTGTGGGTGCATTCTTCGTAAGTGGCTCACATCCCACACGGGTATACCATTTTTAAACAAGATTACACATTTCAGTACATAAGAACTGGAGTAGTACCTACAGCTAGTATATTATCAATTATTATTTATGTTGTTTTCAGTTACCAGAACTTGCGGTGGAACCTCTGCATTAAATGCCACTTACTTTACAAATAACAATTATCCAGCTCCAGTTACTGCATCTACTCGTTGTACAATGACAATAAATAGAGCAACAGCAGATACATGCCAGGTAAAACAATTTTTTGTTGTAGGAGATTCATTTTTAAGGTAACATTTGTAATACTCGAAGAGATACACCTTTAAAGGAGCCTGTTTTTGGTGGGCGTCTATCTACTACCTGTGATTTGTGTGGCCAACTACAAATTGGAAAGAAGTTTATTTAGGTATAATTTGTAGTTTAATGAGGTAATATGACTTACCTTTACTTTCTGTGCAAAGCAAGCAAGCATACCTTCCCGCACGTTCCTACTTAGTGTGCAGTGACTTGATGCATTATAACTTGCTACTTGTGGTTGTATTCTTGCGATACTCTTAGTCTTATAAAATTGAATACTGTATTATCTACGTGTTTCTTGATAAATTTTTGCAATCAATGAAACGGTTGAAGACAACGTTTAATGAATAAAGAATGACTACAACGTACTAATTTCTACGTTAATAGTCGAGCGATGATCATTTAACGACAATGTTCGATCTTTTAGGACTATTTCTTTGTATCTCCTATAGAGTCGTTTTTCTCTAAGCAACTTCTTACTGAGTACGAACTCAAACTGTTCAACAGAAATATGGAAAGATTCGACAATTTTTTTGGTTGTCATGCAAATGGAAACCAAATAATTTATTATAAAGATCATTTTTATCTTTGAACATAAATATTCGGTAAATATTTGACCTATTTTGTGCTATATAAATTTTGAAGTATTTCGTTCTGTTTCGAAGTCTGTCATCTGTTGAGTCAGTAAATAATTGGGTAATAATTTCCTGTTACTTATTGAACTGGATTTAATTGCGTACTAAGAGACAAATTTCAAAAAATAAACAGAAAATTAGGTAACCACATGACTAGAAAGCGATAATGATGTAGTTTAACAAAGACGTATGCTAACAATATTGAAATAAATACTGTGATCTATTATAAGTATCAAAAATATTCCATTACAAAAACATTATTGGCCTAATACCGATATGTTATAAAATAGCGCTGAATCTTCAAGGTTAAACTTTAATGTGCAACAAAGTATTTTGAAACTAGATACGCATGTTAACAATATCATGTGTGTCCTAGATTTCTGATTAAAAACAATTTACATAATTTATAATAAGTATTATTATTACAATAAATAAGGTAGAAATAATATATAATATAACATAATTATTATTTTTCCAAACGGTCAGAAGTACTTCTTTTTCCTTACTCTTATATATATATATATATATATATATATATATATATATATATATATATATATATATACATATATATATATATATACATATATATATATATATATATATATATATATATATATATATATATATATATAATTATAATTGTCTAGGGTGTAAAATAAAGCCTTGCTTACTAAAAGTATTTATTATCGTCACTACAACTGTTCGTTTAGGTAATAATGTTAGTGCGCAATAGCAATATCACTCTTATTCGCAAATGTCTCGTGTCTATCGTCGTACCGTCGTTTATCACTCGATAGCGTCGTTGTGTATGATTTCTGATTTCGCACATACCGTCGTCAATGTATGTTATAGCACATACCGTCGTTTGTTTCGTCACTTTGTATGCCGCACATGCACATACCGTACTTTATAATTTCTGGACCGTCAGTATAGTTTTGGTAGAATTCGGCAATATTATTCCTGTCATCTTCAAACAACTCTGATATATACAGCTGCCATTCTTTTCTTATTTCGTGCTCATTTACAATAATTTTGTTATTATTGTCAAGAAGTACAGAGGGAACTCGTTTTTTAAATTTGTTACTCATTTCTTTTAGTTTTTTCTACACAATAAATAAGTCGTGTTTAGATATTACATTCTCCATTTCGTCGCACCTTTCTCTCATCCATTTTTCTTTGGCTAATTTGATCTCCTTTTTTATTCTCTCCTGCAGGTGTCTATATTATGTTACATTAGATTTTATCAATCGACGTTGATCCATTAATTTCAAGATGTCGTCTGTCATCCATTTATTTTTCTTAATTAAGTTTTTTCTATAATCATTGTGGAGATTTCGTTAACCTGGTTTTTAAATTCACTCCATAGTTCTTCTGGATCTTCTAGTTGTTCTCCGATGTTTTTTATTCTATTGTTATAGATAGATATATAAGATAAAAATATTATTAAAAAACAAATGGAAATTAAATGTTTTTATAAACATTTACATTTCTGTATAAATTCGCTATAAAATCTTATCCGTGGTCAAGTATTGTTTGTCTACTAAAAATGTCTTTGGGTCCCATGACGAGAAACAAATGAGCTCGTATGTTTCTTATCGTATTTTCTTATATTAATATTATCCGTTATATTGATATTTGGGATTAAATTGAGTATTTTTCTGATTGGAGAATCTATTATAACTGGCTGAATGACTAATGTCTATGCCATTTAAAAAATATTGTATAAATTACTCTATCTTTCAGGTCCGAATTGACTTCCTTGGATTCATATTAGCCCAACCTGATGCAACAGGAAATTGTGCTACTGATGCATTTTTTGTTACGGGTGGAGCTGGACTTGTTCCTGTTATATGTGGTGATAATACTGGTCAGCACATTTATGTAGATTTTAATGGAAATAATAGTATCGTACTAACTGTAACCACAGCAGCTAGTAACGTGGGTCGTACTTGGAACTTCTTGGTAACACAAATTGCTTGCGGATGTCCAACAAGAGGTAAATGGTGTATTAATTATTTATAGTATAATTCAAAAGCGCTAAAGTTTACACGAAATTAATCATTCTTAAAAATCATCAATCAAGTTTACCATTATTATTAATCTTCTGGTGTACTGAATAACTGGAGGTTTACGATTGCAATAGCAAAATTTTCACTATTCTTCGCCGCTCTTAGTATTAGTATGCAATGTTTTCCCTTAGGTCGATTCTGGTTTATTGAAATATAAAGGACTGCGGGACTGGTAGTGATAGCAATTTTTCTTTTTCGTTTAGTGAAATCGATAGAGACGGTATTGAACTACATTATAGCATTAAAACCTGAATTTCGAAATTTTTAGATTACATTCGTTTTCCCTTGGCTCTCCATATGGATGCAGCCAATTTTTAAGCCAAGTTTTAAGTAAGGTATGTACAGGTAATAACGCCAGCTTGGCAATATCGCCAACTCGTCATTTCCCAAAAAGTACGTTTGCTAAATAATAAACGGCAACATGGATATTCCTCATATTATTATAAATCATGTGATCATTTTGCGATGACCTTAGATTCGCCAGCGGTGTTTAGGACGGTTGAGTATCAGTGTTAGGTGTAGAAGGAGTACCATTTATAATTATTTTACATCTTGGGTGCTTATTAGATTAGAGCGGCATCACTGGTGAGTAATATTATTTGATCTCAGTAATTTGTACTTTGTTTTCTAAGGAATAAAATGATGCATTCAGATTTTTAAGATAGTTTAGCTTATCTTCGAAAACCAAATTACAAATAATTTATGTGCATGTCAGTAATATCGCCAAGTCCAATGGATGGTAATAACGCCTTGGCCATGTTCTACATATAATTAATTAGCCTTTTATTTTAGCAGTTTGAAAATGTCTAAGCTCCAAAATCAAGGAATAAGAGGAAAATGGAAGGAATAAGATATGCAAAATGCCATTACAGCCGTTAAAGATGGCTGGTCTGTTAACAAGGCATACAATCACTATTTAGTTCCTCGTAGAACACTTATAGATTACTTAAAACGTAATACCATGGCCAAATGCACAATGGGCCGTAGATGTGTTTTAGTACCAAGCCAGAAGATCTGTGTAGAAGGATAGTTCGTTTAGCAGAGATCGAATATCCGTTAAAAAGTACGACGAAAAGTGTTACGACTATGCGTATTCAATTTTTGTGAGTTAAATAATATCAAAAATCCTTTTTCACTTGATAAAAGAATGGCAGGTCGGTAAGAAGAAATTAGAAATCGTAAAGCACATAACAAGTATTGAATTATACATCACAATTTATCGTAAATGACCATTTTTAAAGAAATTGGGAAATTACTTACCGATAAGTGTTTGTTGGATAAGCTCCAATGCATATATAATATGGACGAGAAAGGAAACAAACAGTTTTGTTAAAAAAAGGTGCCAAACGAGTACAGATAGTGGCAAATGAACATGCACAGAATATTACAAAAGTATCCTCTGGTAACCCTATGGGGTTACCAGAGCAATTTTACTTAAATGCATACGACTTAAACCAGAATGGTTAGATTTATTAGCTCCTGGTGGAATTGTTATGATTACACCTAAATACAGCATGACAATTAAGACTTGGTTGCGCCATTTTGCAAAGTGCAAATCAGCTGGCAACTGTCTATTAATGTTTGATAGTGCTTCTTCTCATCTCGATTATTCTATTGTTCAAGAAGCATATAAGCTTGATATTACCCTATATTGCTTGCACAGCAATACAACACATGAGCACCAGCTCACGGATAAGGCTGTTTTAGATCCTTTGAGCACATTCTTCTCAAAGGCAGTCACCTTTCAAAGTACGTCGAAGGTTGAAAAAATTGAAAAGCGCTCAAAAATGGAAGCATCAGATGAAGAAAAACGTGACAATTCATTTTCAGATATGATAACTACTCCAGATATGGCATAAAAATCAACACGAGCAAGAAGGACTGTTGGACACCGATAAAACCAACACCTCCAGTAAGAAACCCAATTTATCTAAAGTATCCAAGAAAGGTTCTTCAAGTAGCAAGGAAAAATGGTTTTGCAAGGCGTGTAACGAGGATAGAGTAGTCGATAAAAAAATAAACAGCGTTTGTTTGTGTCACTTACATGAGGACTGTCTTGGATTAACAAAAGAAGACACTGTTCAATCATGTATTTGTCCTTATTGTCTTAAATACTTACTTATTGTTATTTTTCAGCATATAATTTTGAAGTATAATGTTCAATAATTGTTAGACCGTATTGCATTCGAAATAATAAGTTGGCAATATTATCGCCAATAAGGATTGGAAATATCGCCAAATATGACTTTTTTTAAATTGTCCAGTAAATGTGTAAAAACACCCAAGTTATTATTTTAGTAGTTTCTACATAATTTTAAGTAGTTCATTGAATAGCTCAAGTAGTGACATTTTTTTAACATCACCCACTATCCAACAAAAAATTCTAAACCTTAGCTTGGCGATATTACCTTCAGGTACCTTAGTTGAAATTGAAATGCTTATTAATTAAGCTATAAATTAATTAATTCAGTAGCATATATGATACGTCTCTTCAATTAAAATTTCAATCTTCAAATTAAAATCCAGATTCAGAAATAAGTTGACAAATGATTTTTACGTCCCTTTAAACCTAAAGGTCGTGAGTTCGAATCTCATCTGGGTGGAGAAATTTTCTTTTATTAAAAAGTAATGAATGAAAATAATTTCTATCCTTGTGCGATCGGTACTCACCGGAGGGACCGCAGACGTTCGGATACAATTAGCGTCTCTTAGCAAAGACAATGACGTCGACTTTGCTAAGTATCAAGACATTTACTCTACACACACACACACACACACACACACACACACACACACACACACACACACTACACTAGGGACCTGACTGTACCAGGCCAATGATCATAGTTGTCGAGGCATTAACTCAATGATAAAAAAATATTTTTACGTCATGGTATTATTTACAATCTAAATCTATTATTTGTTCATTTTAGCACCATCGGGTTGTCTACAGTTTTTTAACACAACAACAGGAACTGTAAATAGTTTTAATTATGGCGTTGGTAGCAATGTAATAGATCCTACTACAGGTCTTCCTGGTACAAGACAATTAGTAAACCAAAATTATGGAGTCTGTGTAAATATGCTTCCTGGTAAGTACTTTACGGGATATATTTCGTTTATTTTGTGATATATATATATATATATTGATATTTCCATATTGTATGTTTTAACCACTGTTTTAAATGTTTCGCTATCGAGTAACGAAATGTAACGAGTTATCATCAAGATCAGCAAATAACTATTATTATAATTATCGATAATGACAAACCGTTTAAGAATATTTTTAAGAAGATTGATAACTATTCAGAAATTGGCGGAATTATATAACTATAGCCAGAATAACAAAAAAAGTCATTATCGTCAGCAGCGTATCGTCAGCTTGGTGTGCAAAACAGTCACAAAAGGAAATTGAATCGCTGGGAATACCAAATGAAGAGAGAAAAAGATGTATATATATATATATATATATATATATATATATATATTATATATATTATATATATATATATATATATATATATATATATATATATATATATATATATATATATATTTATATATTTGATGTCACATTTTAGTTCCTTTCTAAATAATTTAGTTCTACATATTCTTGAGTATGACGTTTGTTTTCCTCTAGTAGCTACCTTCTTTCCTTCACTAGTTGCTTATTTTGTCTTTTTCTATATGTAAAAGAAGGTTTGGTGAGAAAAATATTGGGAGAAATCTATGAAGGAAAAAGACTAAAAATGAGCGTAAAAGAAGGACAAAAATAATGAATTAAAATTACTGTATACGAAAATGACCTACGAAACGTTCATGCTTCTATGATTATTTGCGCAAATATTTACTTTTAAGTAGAAAATAGAAGGAAACATTTTACAGTATTATGTTGGAAACATTATTAACTGATGTTGAAGTACTGCGTTTACAATAAAATTGTATGTTTAACACATACTCAAGTTGCATAAAAATATCGTTAGCAAAGGTGTATATACTGAGAAAACTATTTTTACTTGTTTTTAGGATTTTGCTCAATTCAGTGGGCAGCCAACGGCTTTATCGTTTCAGGTGTTCCAGGACAAGGTTTTGATGCCTTAACGAACGGCAATTGTCTGACAGATTTTATAATTATTCCAAACCCCAGTTACCCAAATGGAACGTTAACCAATACAGATCGATTTTGTGGAACCTCTTTTGATACAGTTCAATGTAAGTCAACAAAACTATTACTCTGCGTTTATGTTATAGCATCGATGACTACTGTATATAACCTGTATATATCATCTGATTTGTCTGGTATTATTGTTGAACTACGTCAATATTTCTAGCCTGTTGTTGACTATTGCTACCATCACTTTCGTTTTTCACAAATGAAATTCTAGTACGTTAATTTTTTTGGAGCAGTATAAAGTGCTTTTTCTAGCAAAATTTTTTTTCCTAGAGTTAACGAATAATACCACCACTAAACAACATAATGTATAAAAACCATGAAACCAGTCCTCCTATATTAAAACAAGAAGTAGAGAGAGCAATCAAAAACGCAAAAAATGGGAAAGCCCCTGGCCCTAATGACATACATACGGAAGTCATAAAGCTACTGGAAGAGAAACATTTGAATATAATCGTCAAATTATTTAATCAAATATATACAAGCGGTGAAATTCCACAAGACTGGTTAAAGTCAGTCTTTATTCCCCTTCCAAAAACTAAGGGAGCAAAGAACTGTGGTGATTTCAGACTTATTAGTTTAATGTCGCATATGTTAAAGTTATTCTTGAAAGTTATTCACCAACGCATTTATAAGAAATGTGAACAGGATATCAGTGATGAACAATTTGGCTTCCGAAATGGATTTGGGACACGGGAAGCATTAACCAGTTTTATTATACTACTGCAAAAATGTCGAGACCAAAAAAAGGATCTCTTTTTATGTTTTATTGACTATCAAAAGGCCTTCGACAAAGTAAAACATGATAATCTGATGGATTGCCTTCACAAGAAGGGACTAGACAAGAACGATTTTAAAATTAACCAAACGCTGTATTTTAACCAAACTGCAGCAGTTAGAACAGAAACCGGTGACACAGAAATATTTAATATCAAGCGAGGTGTATGACAGGGGTGTGTATTGTCACCACTACTTTTCAATATATATTCGGAAGAAATCTTTGCACGAGCACTAGAGCAATCAAGACAAGGTGTTAAAATTAACGGCAGAGTTCTAAATAATGTACGATACGCCGACGACACGGTCCTAATTGCAGAGAGCGCACAGGATCTCCAGACACTCTTAGATCGCGTCAGATCGATCGGAGAACAATACGGCCTCAGCATTAACGTCAAGAAAACAAAAACAATGATTGTCTCCAAAACATCCATCCATCCACCCATGGCTTTAAACGTGAATGGTAACATTATCGAAAATGTCGAGAAATTTCGATATCTAGGGTGCTGGATAACGAAAGATATAGATCCAGACATAGAAATAAAATCGCGAATTGAACAAGCAAGAAATGTCTTTTTTAAAATGAAACAAATGTTTACGTCCCAAACACTCAATCTCAAAATCTGATACCGAATGCTGAAATGTTACGTTTACAGCACCTTACTATATGGAATGGAGGCCTGGACCTTCAACATCAACTCACTCATGCGTTTGGAAAGTTTTGAAATGTGGTTATTTCGAAGGATGCTGAAAGTCCCCTGGACAGCGCATATGAGCAACGAGCAGGTCCTACACAAGATGGGTACCGACAGAGAACTCTTAAAAATAATGAAAACACGGAAAACCTCATATTTGGGACACATATACAGAAATGAGAAATACCAGCTACTACAGCTTCTTACAGAGGGGAAGGTAGAAGGAAAACGTGGTCCTGGTAGACGGCAGGCGTCCTGGTTGAAGAACATTCGTGAGTGGACTGGTTTGGATTCTCAATCTTTAATAAGAAAAGCCAGGGACAGAAATAATTTTGCTGAGGTTATCGCCAACCTTCATTGAAGACGGCACCCAAAGAAGAAGAGTTAACGAGCTTTTCAAGCGAGGGTTTTTTATATTTACGTTCTCTAGAAGTCACTGGCTCTTTCGTTTTTAATAAATATCATATATTTTATATTTTTAATATAACTAAAGACTAAGCTACTAGCAACCTTCCTTATCTTAGGATGCCTATCCGGATTTTGGCGACCATTATAGTCAATTGGCTCTTTGTTAACTGCTGTAAGTACACAATAATTCCATAATTGTCCGTATCGCTGTACATTTCTCATAAAATGATTCAAAAAATTCCTTCCATGTTTTTATTCCATTTTCCCATTCTTTTAAGGACTTCTATGTTAGTCAAGTAATCAACAAAAGAAATATTCCCATAGTATCCCAATTTCGTTCAGTCTCTTCATCGCTGATTGAGAAAGGGTTCAACTCTCCACTCCATGAAGAAGAACCAAAAACACAACCCTGAAACATGTTGCATTCAGTTTTATTAGAATTTTTGTAGCCTTCGCTATATGCTGCTTTATTCTTATAGAATGTTACTGTCTGTTAGGGTTGGCGGGTTATTAATGGGTTTAAATAGCCCAAGTTGTCTGAAAAGACATTGATAAGGCTGCTATCATCTATCATCCATTAAGTTATAACAACTACGTATGCAAATATTATGTTATACCTCTAATGCACTATGCTTATATTTAAACTTTCTCCTACTCCTTTTTATTTCTCGTTTTGTATGTTATAAGTAGAATGTAGTCAGAGAGATGCATAGTTTAAAATGTATCGTAGAAAAATAACTTTAACTTTTATTTAAATACAGAGCTCTAACTATTTTCTTTTGTGTTACAGCATCATTAAAGCCGTTTGTTTTGTATGTAGTAACGAATGCAGTTGAAGCCACTGATGGTGATGTTGCCAATACTGGATTTTCTCTTTCTTTTACACAACTGGCCTGCCCAAATACCCTCTTTTAGTATCGTTATATTTTGTATTTTATATTAATAATTTAAATAAAAATACATAAAACTTTTAAAACATATTTTTTATAATCATCAGATCATTAAAATGATATAATTAGAATGTATACAATATACAAAGAATAAATACCTATTAGCTTGTTTGCGATGGAATGCAAAAGTGAGATTTTACCATAACTCCACAAGGCTGGTACTTGAAACTACGAATGGTTCAGGGTCAGATTTCAAATTATTTTCCAATGGTGCATTTACCATCATCATCATTTTGGTCCTAGAGCCCTTAGAGGGCCTCGACCTTCTCAAGCCTTCTACACCATTCTGTTCTGTCCCTTGCTTGCATTTCCAGTTGAAAACTCCGATCTTCTCCGCATCTTGTGTTACCCCATCCATCCACCTCAGCTTTGGTCTATCCCGTCTTCTCATTCACACGGGTTGTGCTGTTAGAATCTTTTTTATCATGTTCGATTTAGGGCCCGGACTACATGTCCTGCTCACTGCAGGCGGTTTCGCTGAATTCTAGTGGTAATATATTTACCACCAAACGTATGCTTGTAAATATTCTGCAGTTCAAAGTTATATCTACGCCTCTATAGTCCGTTCTCACAGACCGCTCCGAATATCTTGCGTAGCACCTTTCTTTCAAAAGTAGATAAAGCGGATTCATCTGTTTTAGTTAGCGTCCATGCCTCTGATCCATATGTGAGAACGGGGACTATCAGTGTTCTATACAGCCTTATACGAGTTTTTTGAGACAGACGTTTGTTAGCTAAGTACTTTGATAGACCATGATAACACCTGTTTGCAATTATTATTCGCCTTTTTATTTCCTCAGATGTGTTATTATTGGGGTTAACAGATGTCCCTAGATATATGAACTCTTTCACTGCTTCGAAGTTTTGATCATCGATGATTAAATTTGCGTCAACATTTCCAGCTCTTGTGTTTGTGTTAGTCGCCATGAATTTGGTTTTATTTTGATTTATATGTAACCCCATTCGTTCTGCTGCTGCTACTAGCTCTAGGTGTCTGCTACTAGGTTAGGATTTTCGCAGTTCTCGCCCTGCTTCTTGTTATAATGTCCACGTCGTCTGCATATGCTAGAATTTGGACTGATCTATTAAATATTGTTCCCCTGCTATCTAAATTAGCGTCTCGTACAACTTTTTCTAAGACGACATTAAAAAGCTGACACGCCAGCACATCTTCCTGCCTAACCCCCTATGTATTTCAAATAGGGTTGACGAGTCGTTGTGAATTTTTACTGCTGATAGCATCTTCGCCATTGTAACTTTTATCAAACATATGAGTTTTTTTGGAATTCCTAACTCGTTCATAGCATTGTAAAGACTTGGTCTTAAGACACTGTCATATGCCGCTTTAAAATCGACAAAAATATGATACATATCTATGTTAAGCTCTTGCACTTTTTTAAAGATCTGGTTAATGGTTGAACGTCCAAGCCTGAATCTTGCCTGATATTCTCCTAGAAACATTTCGGTATAAGGCTCTAATCTCTCATGCAAAATGTTTGACAATATCTTGTATGCTGTATTTAGGAGAGTTTATAGGAGAGTAGCATTTATAAACAACTTAATTTATTAAAACTTTTTTCATTTCAAATTTCAAACTATCCTTGGGGCGCAGATGAGAACTCCCTGCTTAAGATATATACCAAATATATCTACTTAGGATATATATAACAACCAGCATTACTATTCTAAATCGCCATCAATAAAACCCATTCCACTAATTTTAACGCAATTACTTAATAACATCTCTCTATCACAAACAATCTCACGACACCTACCTCCATATTCTCCTTGGTCTATAATCATCCCTCAGTTTAATACATCGCTTACAAGATTCGATAAACTTACAATACCCAGGGAACTCATTAAAAAATCTTTTAAAGAACTTAGATTTACAAATAAATACAACATAGTACTCTACACTGATGCCTCAAATAATGATACAGCAATAGGGTGTTCTGTTACCACGTCAGATAACCTTATCACATCATCTTGTATCCCCTCATTTTGTAGCGTTCATACCGGCGAACTATTTAGCAAATTTCCAGGTTTCAAATCCATTTCTGAACCAAATAAAAGTTGAAATATACACAAACTCACTAGCCTCAATACAATCTATCCAAAATATATTCACTTATCATCCTATTGTCCAAAAGAACCTTGACTGTTACCAACTAATCACTTCCCAAAAAATAATAGTTACATTAATCTGACTACCATCCCATATTGGTATTACAGGCAACGAACTTGCAGACAACCATGCAAAACTTACTTCAACATCATCTGATAATACGGTTAATATACAAAGTAGTAAAGATTTAAAGTCTTACATTAAGAAACGAGCATAAATATATATAGTATAGATAATAGATGGACAAAGCGGATACTGAAATGGAGACCAAGAGATGATGCCTGCCGAAGCAGAGGTCGTCCACCAACACATTGGACTGATGATCTAAAACGTTGTCATAGGAATTGGATTCAAGAGGCACAAGATCGAAACAGATGGAAAATTATTAGGGAGATCTATGTCTAGCAGTGGATAAGCGACTATTGAATGATAATGGTGATTTGGTTTATGTTTTGTAGTCTTTAGTTGTATTACATGTCAAAAACGTTTATGTAAGTATGTTTTCTTTGTTTTAAATTGTTAATAAAAACTTGTTACATTTAAAGTCCTGTATAATCTTTCATAATAGAGATATCGAGATATTTTTACAAAACTCTTGAGTAAGGATAAAACTACCATTAGCACATAACACTGGGTGTTTCAAAATACGATGAAATAAAACAACTTTATTACAACTTATTACACCCCGTATACGAGTAAAACGTTGATATTTTTTAAAAAACATTATTACACTGATTTATTAGAAATAGACCTATAATATGAAAGAAAAATCATCCAAATCCAATTATCCGTTCAGAAGAAAAATAGCTTTAAACTTAGGGTACATTTAAGGTGGTGCGTTAATTTTGGGCAGTAGTGTAGTTTTCCGAACAAATCGGTTTTCCGAACACCTATGTCCCCCAATTAATAGTTCGGATAATCAACGCTCTACTGTATTGTATTTTACCCATTTTATGTATAACAGATTATCAGAACCTTTATTATTTTAGTAGCGTTGGAAAATAAAAACAAGTATCTGCACGAACATTACTTTTAATAGATAGGACATCACAAAAATATAGGAAGAATTATTTGTTTTGTATAAAATTACACATCATACATTATAAAATTGTTTTAGGTATCAGAAAAGAAATAAAAATTACTAGTTGGTGTTTAATCGATTAAAGTTAGTCAATAGCATAAATTAGCTAAAAACAGTTGACAGATAACCTCTAATAAATGCAATAGTCTATGATGATTTCGGTAAAGCGGCGGCAACAATATCGTAGTAGTAGTTGCAAAAAACGGTGCTGTTGTGTGATACTATTCTTAGAAATTGACCAGCAATTTCAACTAATTCTTTTTGTAAAGCTGATAATCCCGATGGCACCTTCTGGGGAGCAGCTGTCGAGGATTCTATTATATCCAAAAAGAAATCCTTTACCCTTTGTTCTAAAATAAAAGAAGAAAGCATAAATATTAATCATTTCAATAGGAAGTTAAAAACTATTATTAACTATTATCATTCACATAAAAGAAAGGGATAATTTTCATTTTTTTTAAATGTATTTACATTAGTGATGTGTCAAATATCAACAAGAGTCAAAGAGGTACAATATGCCAACTCGATACAGAAATAAATGCAAAGTCGTAGGAGCCCATGAAGTACAGCACACGACAGTTAACTTTGCGACGGAATACGCACAACGTCACTGAGAAATACATTATGTTTGCGCCCCATGATTCTCCTATTGGTTTACTATTTCTGATAAGTAGTTTCAGTGGCGTAACGGTATAGTTTAAATAATTATTACACAATTAAAAAAGTAGTAATATTTTTTCGCAAGCTTTAGGAGAGGAAGGGGTTGATATTTTGTTGCAAATGATAAGCAGGACATATGAGGAAGAAAGGATGTCCAATGCATGGAGAGAGAGTGTGGTGGTATCATTGTATAAAGATAAAGGGGATATTCAGGACTGTACGAACTATAGAGGGATAAAGTTAATGTCGCACACAATAAAAATTTGGGAGACAGCTGCAGAAGGAAGGTTAAGGAGAGAGACATCGGTAGGAGAAGAACAGTTTGGGTTTATGCCAGGAAGGAGGACAATGCCTTTTTTGCGTTGAGACAGTTGATAGAGAAATATAGCGAGAAGAGAACATTTGATATTTATAGATCTTGAGAAGGCGTACGACACAGTTCCTAGACAAGAGTTATAGAGATGTCTGAGAGAGAAATGGGTTCCTGAGAAGTACTTAAGGCTCGTGAAGGATATGTATGAGGGAGTGTACACTAAAGTAAGGACTGTTGTCCAGACTGTTGTAAGGACCAAAATTTTTCCAGTAACGGTTCCTTTGCATCAGGCTCTTCACTGAGTTCTTACCTGTTTAATCTTGGTATGGATGTACTGACAGAGACAGTAAGGAAGGGGCTCCTTGGTCAATGTTCTTTGCTGATGATATCGTGTTAGTAGAGGAGAACAAAGAAATGTAGGAGAAGTTGGAGTGCTAAAGAAAGGCTATTGAAGAGGCAATATTTAGAGTTAGCAGGTCGAAAACTAGGTATATGTGGTTGTGAGGAAGAGGAATGTTTGGGGACATAGAATTACTTGGAGAAAAGCTAGATGGAAGAACTGTATAGCAGAGGACTTAAGAGAGAAAGGTTTAGGTGAAGAAGACGCGATGGATAGAATATGGATGAATGGCGACGAAGAGTAAAGAGCAGCGACCACTGAAAAGGGAAAAGCTGAGGAAGAAGAAGAAAAAGAAGATAAGTTAGTAAATTGGAAATATATACTTACGAACTATTCCTTTTACTTTGTGATCTGTTTTTCCAATATCTAAAATTTGTTCCCTGAGATTAGATTCGGCTGCTTGTGGCATTTGTGTAAGGTCATACTTTTTCTGTGCCTCTTTTAAGTCTATTATTACTTGCTCACAGATATTGGGTAAAGTAGATTGTAGTTCACTGAAAAAAGTAAAAATGTTTAATTTTAGGTTTCTAAAGCTCTATCAATTATTTTCTAATTATTTTTATTTACAGATTTCATAATGGCAGTCAGTCAGAAGATATTATATTTACTGTTTATGAAATCTATCCTCTAGCTGTTTGCGTTTGGTGAATATATGTTTTTTCCAAGTTAGACGAAGATGTCGATCTAAATTCATGCCGAGATATTTGGCATCTTTGGATTGAGCAAGCTGACAATTGTCAATATATACAGGAGGATATTTCTGATGTTTCTCTACGTAGAGTAAATGTTACGTGAAGTAATTCATAGATGATATTTCCATTAGATTTGATGAACTATATTTTAACCACTGCTGAATTAACCATTGCTAACCATTAGCCATTGCTTCTATTTAGGTTTGATTGGAGGTTCTTGAGGCGGATAATAGATTTGTGTGGGATGCCAAAATAGCAATATCATCTGTATACGTTGTTGCTACTGTAGTTATATTTGATATATTTTATTATATATAATATATTATATTTCAGTGTACTCGATACCTTGTTTCACCAGGAAGTGTCTATTTTCCAAGAAGGATTATTATAAGAGCTAGAAGTGAGGATAGGGTAGAAGTATTTAGTTTTATTTGCAGTCCTGTGTACTAAAACTTATCGAGACATGTCCAGGAAAGCAGCAAAATATTTTTTGGAGTTTAAGTCTTTGTTTATTTGGTTAACCAATCTATACTTTTTGTTCTACAGTTCCTGCTTGTCACGAAAATCAAATTGATGTTCTGGAAAAATTTGATTTTTGTCTATTATCATTTTAGTCTTTTACATACATGCTCTCAAAAACTATTCTGAGCATATGCAGAAGGCAGATCAGAAGGATGCAGGAAGATACATTTTCTAGTTCCTTTCCGGGTTTAAGGACCATTAGGATATGTGCCACCTTCGAGATGCTAGGGAAATAGTTTAAACGCAATTACGCAAAATAATTACATTGAATATAAAAGTTATTGGTTTTATACACTTATCTGAGACTTCTTTCAGAATCTTACCAGATACACCGGTCAAAACCGGGGACTTTTTTGTTAATTTCTTTGATTATTGTTTATTTTACTTGGTTTGCTGTAAATTTGGCAGGTCATTTGAAACGGTACTGTTAGAAATTTGGTTAATTCTGTTTCTTCATCTGTAAAGAGTATAGAATGATATGGCACAATACGTTTCAAAGGTGCTTTCAAATAGATCAGCTTTGTCTTCCTATCGTTCCTAGCCCAGTTATTGGCATCCTCTTTAAAAATGGGTTATGTTGTTGGGTCGTTTGAGTTTTATTGTGGCTTTCCAAATCTATAGCTTTGGTCGAAGAAAGATTTTGTATTTATTTTTCAATTCCAAGATTTTCTTCTTATGGATTAATTTTTTTAACTCCTTTGTTGCTTTATTCATTTTTTTCTTATTTTATTCCATTCTTGCATGTTGCCAATTTTTTTGTAGCTGTCGTTTTCCTGGTTTTTTTGGTTTAAATGTGAGACACGTTGTTTTCTTTTGGGAGTGACACGTAGTCAGGAGTAGCATACCAAGCTACGATTTGTATGTTTTTTGTTAGACTTAGTGCCCCTATTTCTATTTTAAGCTCATTTTTTATGGGCAGATTTAGCGAGATCAGGTTATCTAGTTTCTTTTCTATATCACGATCAATTAGTCTTAAGGCCGGTTTTTTCGCTACATCTTATTGTACGTTTTGTTGGATAGGACAAATCCTGTACATTAAAACGTGGCATGTAAACAGCAAAACGTACATCTTGTCGAATCGAAATGAAATCCAAGGTCAGATCGCAGAAATGAGATGGGAGAAGCATAATTTTGCGAGAACTGACAGGATAAAATGTTATGTGAAATATTATGGTTGTGAACTCCAAGTCCTTGAGGCTGCGTCCTGTTGCAAGATATCTGAGAGTTGCTGTGAATCTTTCATGGGGTGTAATAGCTTTTCTCATGCGGGTGAGAAACGTGGCGTGAAAACCGGCCTTTACTGTTATGCAAAGTGGGTGGCTGTTTATTGTCAAGATTTTTTCGAAAATTGTTACTAATATCGGTAAGTGGATAGATGATAAGTAGAAACATGATTTGGCTTTACCTTTTTATAGTATCGATGCCTTTCGTGATGTAGACGTCTACAGCATCAGGTATTTTGTTTTTATCAGTCATTAGGTTGGTTTGTCAGTAGATATTTTTGTAGCTTACTTTCTTCCATTGCTTTAATTAATTCTTTATCTTTTTTTGTTGTTAACCTAGAGTCCCACATCTGGTGTTTTGAATTAAAATCTCCACCGGCAATAATTTTTTTTTTTTAAATTAAGGCAAATATCGAGCACAAATTTAATAATCAAATCTTGCCCAAATACTTTCGAAAAAATGAAATTGGACATAAATTGTACATAACACTACATTAAAACAAGGACAAACAGTTTAAAATTATTAAAAATTATTCTACGCTCTACATTCTTGTCGGCAACAGGAGAGATAATCTCTCTCCTGTTGCCGACAAGAATGTAGAGCGTAGTATAATTAAGCTTAAGAATTTTAGGATATCTCCTATGATATCTAACAAAAATAAACTTAATATGAATGTATCTCTTCACATTACCTTTCATTCTTAACATTTTCTAGTAAAATGCAAATATGATCCTTCAAAGACTGCTTGAATGCTGCTATAGATTGGAGGTCAGTTCCTGCGTTACTAATGGTGACTAGAAGAATAGTTGCAACATATACTAGACGAAAACACCTTACATGTAAATCTTTAAGTCTGTCCACATCTAACATAAAAGTCTAAAAAATGAAAATACCTATATGAATTAATAAATCATTAAAAAATTAATAAAAAATAATTTAAAAAATTTAAGACTATTTTGGTTTCCTTGCCCTTAGTTGTTTTGGCCCTAGAATCCCATTGTGTATGTTTAGCTTTCCAGTCTCCACCAGCTATATACCTATTACCTAACGACAGAGAACTACGAACACAGAGAAGCGACTCGAGCCCCGAAATCCGTGTATCTTTTCTGTATACGCATGTCCGAAATTGATTGCTTTACTGTCAAAAACACGTACATTTTCTTCAACTCTGCTTGCTTACGATAGTCCGTAGGCACCTGTGGTAAATTCTCGACTATACAAGTGCATTTGACCATTTATCTAATTTACTTAGTAGTTAAAAGTTTATAGTTATAGTTAAAATATATAAGTTAAATATATAAGTTTATAGTTAAAAGTTTAATTTATAAGTATTTAAAATGTCTTCTGTCTTCTATTTCCTAAGAATAATACCAGGTAATTACTATTGCTTTGTAATTATAATTAGTTATTACATAATAGTATTAATTTGACTTTCGATCAGTAAGCCGACGCCGACGTGTCCGTCCGAGCTCTCGTTAAGTGGAGCAATAAAAAAATAAATTTTGGTCTGCCAAGGGAAAGTTCAAAATAAAAACCAGAGAACTACGAACATACATTAAATTTATTGTCTCCGACGGCTCAGGTCAAAAAATCAACAAATATTGGCCTACTGGTGTGAAATCGCTCGCAGATAACAATACGAATATAGTATTTTTAGGAAATAAAAATATATAGAGGGTTTTATACAAGAGAATATTTGATTTAAACGAAACAAAGAAATTCCTAAAATGCTCAAACTAAAAATTGTTGGAAACATAATTAGACCGATAATTGGGAAAATCTTAAAATTACAACAGAACAAGATTTCAAAATAAAAACATGATTGCAAATAAACAAACTTACATTAACATAACTTGAAATATTTGCTGTCTTTTTCATCAAACAAACTTACATTAAATTATGAAAAAACTAAATACTCATCTACTTTTTGCTATATACAAAAGTTGTCTGTCAATGTTTAATTCGTTAAATATAAATAACAAAGATCAAATATATGGATCGGAGTACACAACATATTTAGGGAATAAATATTTAAATGGGAATTACAAATAAAAAATATTAAAACTTTATTTGTTGTATATCGCAATATTTAGTGACAATTTTGTGACTTAATCAGGAGAAAACTGTTAATTTATTAAGATGAGCCAATAATTTAACCAATAATTTAAAGGTAAATGCTCCAAATATACATGTCTACTTCAAGAAGTTAAAGGTTACGGAGTACCAAGCAAGCTTTAAAGTTTCATATCCATTGGATTATAAAAATGAAGTTCTCAATCAAAGTATCTGGCCTGAAGGTTCAATGGTTCGTCGTTTTGACTTCAAGTATAAGAATTGTACTAACCGCCGTTAACAACAAAACCAGAAATAATTGTTACAAATCCGGCTTAGGCAAACTAGATACTACAAATAATTTTAAAGGCAATACCAATCAACTAAAAATCGTATGTATTAACTCTGAATCTATTGTAAACAAAATAAATTGTATCGAAATATTAGTTAAAACTGAAAGTCTGGATTTACTATGTATATCCGAATCATGTGTAATGACAATAATATAAATTCGTTTTATCTTCCTAATGCTCTCTTGTAATGATTCGTAATACTTTTTTGATTATTTTTTAGGTTATTACATTTTTATATTTATAGAAATATACTCGTACAATAGTTACTTCTTGATTTTTTATTCGTTTTAGTCGAATATCGTTTACTCCAATATTCGACTTTAAAGGAAAAATGTAATTTTAATAGGTTTCCAAGACATTAACAATCGATATCAATATAAAGTTTCTTGTTTCTCAGTCTCACCCAAAGAGAATTGGAATTTTTTAGAGTTTGTGAAATTTCCGTGGCAGTTACAATGGCTTTGTTATTTTCGATTATATTACGAAAGATAATTTATTAGGAAATTCCACGACGAACAAATTATATCTTGTATCAACACAAGCCAAAAAGAATCGGAGTATTATTGTATTATCAATGCCAACATCAGAATAAACAAAAAAATTATTTTCGTCTATGGTTCCATCAATACGATTTTCACCATTACTTTGCGTTGTACGATGTATTTGCAACCTTTTGTAAATCAAAAATAATTACACCATTTAGAATGTCAACAAAAGCCGGCCCTGCAAGTAATGATTTTTTCAGTGCAATATTTCATATTTATTGAAAGTCAACATAAATGCTCAATTGTATTTAAGAATTTATATTGTGTGATATGCCCACTGACTATTAGTAAATTGGTTGCTTTCCTGTCATTTTCACTCGTTGGCGGCTTGCCCACGCAAGATCAAAGGAGTGTCGCTTCTCTGCGTTCGTAGTTCTCTGCTAACGATCTGAGAAAATCTTGGTATTCTTCCATTTTGTTGTTATGTTTTGGCGGAAAGTATATGGCAGATATTTCTATTGGCCCCGTGAAGTCATGAACGCAAACTGTTGTTGCCTATAGATAATCTCGTTTATATCCTTTCATCGTGTGATGTTTGATATTTTGTTTATTATTAATGAAATCCCTCTGTGCGCGGTCCTATCTAGATGTTCGGTATGATATGTATCATAGCTTGGTATTTTAAATTAGCTTTTAGAGGGAAGTTTATTATCAAACTGTGAAAAAATACATCAGTGATTGCATCAGTGATTCTTCTATTTTTTCACATGTTTTCTGCTTTGTATCCAGTAAAAATTTATTTATAAAACTGATAACTCTATGTAACAATAAAACACTGAAAACTTTGTTTTCAAAACTTACACAAAATCTATTTTAAACTCTTATCACTACAGTTGTTTCGGCTGATAGCCTTTCTCAAGTGATCTATTTTTGGCACGCGTTTACACTTTATAGTCTTTAATGAAATAGGTTGAGAAGGAGAGAACTGTCTTTCTCAAGTTGGCCATTCAGAATTATATCTGTGTTTTTTAATTTCCATAGATTCTAACAAAGATATCTTAAGGCCTTTATTTTGAATGTGAAGAATTTTAAATTCATCATTAAAAGAATGATTATAATCTAGAAGGTGAAGTTCGTATGTAGAATCTGTTTTTCTATTATTGAAGGCTTTTTTATGTGCTGCTTTTCGTTTATTAAAATTTCTACCAGTTTGACCGATGTAAGTTTTTGATCAGTCGCCACATTTAAGTTTGTACACACCACTGTTAAAGTGTTTCTTATTTTGGCTATTGTTGTTTTTAATATATTTGCCTAAGTTGTTATTTGTTCTGAAAGCTGGTGTTATTCCTTTCTTTTTTATGTGTTTGGCTATTTTTGTTGATATTTTGTCTGTATATATAATCGAGCAGAAGGTACTGCGTTTTTTCTCTGGTGTTGGAAATACTAATTTCAGGGCTTTCTTGTGTAGTTTTTGATTTAACATTTTATTAATTGTTTGTTCGTTGTATCCATTGTTTACTGCTATTTGCTTAATGATATTTAATTGTCTCAAAGTTGTATTTTGACATCGGAATTTCTGTTAATCTATGTAACATACTATGATAGGCTACCAGTTTATGTTGTGTAGGATGGTTAATGAATTGTGTATAGTCGTGTCAGTATGGGTACGTTTATGAAATATGGAGAGGTCATGTTTGTTTTTAAGTCTGATAATTTTTAAATCTAAAAATGTATGGATTGGTTGTGTTCTGTTTCTATTGTAAATTCAATATGACGATGAAGTGAATTATTAATATACGATAAAAATTGGTGGAGTTGCCTGTTAGTTCCTGTGAAACATCAAAACATCAAACAAACTAGTTGGTGTAATGTATACATGATTATATAGGTTGGTTAGACGAAAGAAATATATTTATGTTGGGAAAAAAGTCTAATTTAGTGGAAATATACTTACTTCAGGATATTCCTCGTCACTTGGCCAATCGATTAATTCTACACAGGCTTGACAGAAAGACCATTTGAAAACACCTTTTATAAATTTTTCATATTCCACATTCTCCGGTACAGCTTGACCACTATTTATATATCTTAATAACCATTTGCGAGTTTGTTCAAGGCCATCTAAAACAGCCAAATTTTTTATGTTAAATCATAATAGAAAAAACAAGACGTTACATATATTTTAAATAAGTACTACTGTTTACTTTTCTCAACATTTATTTCATTAGAAAAATATATTGAGAAATCTACGGCAATGTGTGATTGGTAGCTCTTTTAGACACCATACTCAGTAAAACGTAAGTTTAATATAAATAAAAATATTTTCAAATAAATAACAAAATAAAATTCACTTCTATACAATATGCACAATAAAATAAATATACGAATCCCAGTGAATAAAATCGACGGCGCTACGATCCGCTGTTATATTGGCGATATTAGGATGGTTAGAAAGCAAATGACGATGTATTGGTCAATACCCAAACTCAGGGAATACTATTCAATACCTAGTCTCGTTAGAGGTGGCCAATCGTTTCTACTCGGTACGGACGAGGAACAGAAAGCAATCAATGAATAATTGATGGATTCGACCGTAACTTGATGGAAATTCATACGCATGCCAAAAATAGATCACTTGAGAAAGGCAATCAGCCGAAACAGCTGTAGTGATAAGAGATTAAAATAAATATTGTGGAAGTTTGAAAACAAAGTTTTCAGTGTTTTATTGTTACAATCAATGAATACTTAGTCGCCAACGGGAAGATCGTCTTTGATCAAGACACAAAGACCCGGATCTCTTACCAGATCACAACTCCAGCTTGAACTCCCAATACGGTTGGTATTTGATCTAAACTCAAAGGCCCTGAAATTAAGTTCTTAACAGATCAGTTCTCCGGTTCGAACTCAGTTCTCTGTTGTGGTGGACGGCGTTTTATATCGTTGCTGGTATTCTATTTCCAGTGTGTATCGAGGGTAGTGTTGGCATTTGAGGTTGTAGAAAAGTTCGAATTATCCAAAATATAATTCGAATTATTCACGACTTTTTACCATTACTTATATAGGAAATGCTAGGGACCAGAAAAAAATTCGAATTAAACAGGTTCCACTGTAGTATTAAAAGTAGGATAAATCATACCAAGTTCCTACTTTCTGTTTTATGAAGATAATTAGTTTTTGCAGTAAATAGCTAATTTATTACTGTACTCAATAAAATATAAAAATAAAAAGCATGGAAAAATGTATTGCATATCTATCAGTGGTACTTTCATACATTACCATATTGTACAGCAAGATAATCGGCAAATTTCTTTCTTTCCAATTCCACACTACACGCAATAATGTCTGGTCGAGCCATTTGAAGTGTAAAATTAGCCATATCCAACTGCATGAGGTCTAACGTCTAAAAATTCATGTAATAATTTAAATTATTTATTATTATTATTTATCATTTTAACTAATGAACTAATTAAAATAAGGTTAACTTTAGTGTTGGTTCTTCAGTTGACACGAATATTTTATAAACATGAAACAAATTACCTCGAGTATACCTTGAAAAGTCTCTATGACATCCACTGTCTCTGATAACTCAAGTATTTTATCGTCACGTACAGGTGCACACAATTTTGCCATTACGGATACCACATATTGAGCATAGTTCTAAAAATAAAAATATTTCAAAATGAAATGTGTTATAAATACGGTAAAAAGTATATAACAAAATTATTTATTAAAAAAAATTACCTTAAAATCCAAAGTACCATTTTCTGCTTGTTGTTTTATCAAATCAGAATCCAAAACTTCCGAAATTTGTTGCTTAATTCTTGTGTGTTGTGGTAATAATACAGCAAACAATCCTTCTTTAATTTCTTCTAGAAGATTAAATGCCTGTAAAATAACTATTGATAAAAATCTAAAACAAATGTATGTATGTACTATCCTGTAATACTGAATACAGTCTAGCCAATTTTTTTCTGTGTTTCTTGATACTCTAATTGATTAATTGATAACCTAAACAAATTTTACTATATATATATATATATATATATATATATATATATATATATATATATATATATATATATATATATATATAAAGCTCATCATGGACACCCAATGATAACTTCTTATTTGGCCCTGGTATACTCATATTTGTTGTTTTCAAGCTAGATCGGACCTTCTCATAACAACAGTATGTTCTACTGAAGCTTCCTTACTGTGCTGCAGATTCACATGCATATCTGTAATATGCCTTGAAATTTGCAGTCTTCTAACTTCTTAATACCAATCTTCCATTCTTAGATCTAAGCTTCGATAAGTCGGTCCATTTCTTGGTGTACTTGTTAGAAGTGTGTAACGTAAGGTTTCTTGTGCTAAACGATTTATTGAACTGTAGTGGAGCCTGACTTCCACTAGGAGTCTCATCCACTGCTTGTTCCCGTTTTTTTAGATGTTTTGTAAGTATTTGAGATTTAAAAAATGTGTCACTGATAATACTAGTATTTTATTGGGAATAAACCACAATTTTACTTTAAAACAAATTTATTTCGACGTTTTGATTTCCACTTTGAAAACCATTCTCAAAAAAAAACATTAATGTACCCAGTATAGGTTTTTCTAATTTACTTATGCAGATAACTTGATTTATTTAAAAAAGTTTCATTGAAAAATATTGGAAAACCTATCAGGAATCGCAATTCGTTATATTATTTTGTGATACTCATGAAAAAAATAACAACTACTTACCGAACAATTTTTTGTGCATGTTGGCAACTACTTAATTAATGAAGGTAGTCCAAGCAATGCAACTTAACCAATAACAATAGTTTAAAATCATAATATATTTGTATAATATCTATTATATATAAGTGAATGTTCAACTGGACAAAATAATTAGATTAATTAGTTTAAATAATATCTTCATCTGTATAAGTATCTGCATAATATGTCACATATATAGATATAGTGTAGCACAACTCTTGTCTTTTTTATCTCCAAATTGACAGAAAACATCCCATTCACTTATCAAAATTTTATAAAAATGAAGTAATCATGGAATTTGATTGTAAACATGCATAAAAACTTTAGTAACTGTAAAACTTTAGTAACTTTTAAATGCTTAACCGGCTAAATATTACAACAACAACAGTTTAACTATTTTGCGTTTTTGTACATAAGTTCCGTGCAAAACTATTGTAATTCTAATTTAACAGAGTTACAACAGTTTTGCACGGAACATTGCAATGATTTCGATAACAAGCAATGAAAGCCACAAAAAAAGTAGGATATTTGTTATTTTAATATCTATATCTGTGGTGTTTAATTTTAATATACAGCGTGTCTACGTAATCTATTAACGGTCGAGACAATAAACAAAGATTTACGAGACCAATCTATTCATGTAAGTTTTATGTCCTTTGTGTGACATTTGTATGTCCATACTCCATCTATGTATTTGTATGTTGTTACTAATGTGGGTCATTTAAAATCGATTACCCACAAGTTTTTAATAACACGCCACACAAAAAACGCTGATGACATCATGCACTTATTAATAGAGAGGCAAAAGAAAAGAGCGCTGAAGAACGGTCCAATTTATGTTCCTACTGAATGGGCAACTGTAGTGAAATGTAGCAAAAAAAGTGGTTCATCCTACATAATCCGGGAAATGTAAACAAAGGACTTCATTGATTTTAAACATGTTTCCTTTCTGTTGGGAAACAACTATAAAATTGATCAAAATAAATAAAATGTGAAGTGGGCAGATATAAAAATTCTGCAATGTAGAAAAGATAGTCCGCACACAATTTTCTTTAAGTACAACTATGGAATTCTTTTAATCTAAAAAAATCAGCACGGACTACACATAATATCCGAGAAGTGCTACTTATGTCTTGCCTACAAAGAACAGCCAACAATTCAAATGGCCAAAAAGAAAGATTTGGTATACTTATGCCATTCAGGTATGATATGAGAAGCCCACCATAATTTTTATAAAAATATTTTGGCCCAAGATGATATACTAGAAGAGGACAACAACTAACAGAAAATGTGTCTTCACTTTTTACAATTTTCTCAGTGCAAAAGTGTTGTAACTTTAAAATTCTAATACTAAATATGTAGTAATTAACAATTTTCTTTGTGTAACTTTGAAATTGCTAATTTCTTTAGCATTAATATTATTTTATTTAAATTTCTATTTTTGGTTGATGTAATATATGCTGAAAAGCATGCAAAATTATAATTAAATGTTAATTTTTCTTAAAACTTGGGTCTTATTTCACCGATATTAGCATGAAAATAATATAAATTTTAAACTTTATACAATACCTGAGTATAAACTGGAGGGTCTTCATTTAGCTGTTGTTTTAAAATATCCCAAAATGCTTTGTGCATTGTATTCTTAATTATTCCCTGGACACTATTAGGTTCTGGCTCTGCTCTTTTTAACCTAAAATCCTTGTCAACCACTATTTGATGTACCAATGCCATATCTCTCATACCATTAGCTGCTTGCATGATCTCCTCCAATGAAACAAATTTTGGTGGAGATGCAGCAGTCAACCCACTAGCAACCATGAACTGATGAGAAGTTGTGCGCTGACTGTAAAGGATTCAATCAGTAATCTGGTTGAATGAAATGGTGAGCCATATTTCATATATATTTATTAATACATTAATTATTATTCATCACTAATAAGTATACATTTATTTATATAAAAGTTTATGTACAGATATATTTAAAATGATATGTATTAAAGTCCACAGTCATATAAATCCAAACAAGTAGTAACGTAAGGGTAATGATATACAGTTATATGAGAATTGTATATTAATTATTCCACTATAAACATTATTAAATATAAAGTTCATCAATTCAGTGTGTGTAACCAAAAATATGAACACATAGAGAACCAGTGTCACAAAGAACAATATCGTTGTCAACCAAGCAACACCATGTAAGTCATTTTCTTCAACTTTACAGGAGAGCAATAACAAAGCAACTTAATTTTGTTGACAACAAAACCCAGCAAACCAGCCCTTAATAGTTTTGATATGGGAACTAAATGAGATAGAATTGTTATATGTGGTGTTGCTTTATTGTGATTACAGCAAAATCGGTTGAGAGATTTTTTCAATTCTAAAGTCATTCAGATATTCCTTGTAAGATTTACCATCAAATGAAACGATTTACCATCAAATGAAACAAAAACCCCATTTGTCAAAAAATTGAGTTACTTAGTGTTGCTTGGTTGATGAAGATATGATCCCTGTAAGAACATCAACATTGTGATGTTTAAAAAGGGTGAACTAATATTTAAAAAGATAATATATACATTTGCTGTTAGCAATAACTTCTAATTCAAGTCACACAGTTTAATATATTGCAAGAATATAACAGTTTATCAAAAACAGAATAGACACCAGCATTTTATTGCCATTCTCAAATCTAAAAATCATGTATTGAATTTTTTATGTTTTTTAGTTGATGTTATAACTTTTTAACAATTAACAAAAATTTTTACTTTGTTCTTAAAGGTGTAAGGTACTTATAGAAAAAGTTCTGTTACTATAAGTTATTAAAATATTTATCTTTATTTAAAGCAGTCCTGTATTAATATTAAATAATAATTAATCATTATAATATGTTAAATATACACTATTTGTACCAGAAAGGACTTCTAATTCAAGTAAATATGGTAGAATGAAAATGTATATATTGTAGATTAACCAAAAATTTTTGATTGATTTATTAAGGCAGTTTAATAGTAAATTAAAGAAGTTTAATATTTACCGTTTTCCTGTAAATCCAGAAGATCCATCGTCACTTGTATAAGAGCACTCACTAGTAGTTCTAATTCTAGATGAGCCTTGTCCCTCATTGTTACTTTTATTTGGGATATCTTTATTTTCACTCATAGCACCAATTCTCTTTAAAACTAAAAGAAACAATGATAGTAATGATAGTTCGAACCCAGAAATGTATTTTCAGCTACACAATGAGCAATGTAAGGAACAAGGAAGACAACAAGGTTAATAAGCTATGCAATGCAACAATGAATCATAGGTTTAAATAACCACTTTCTTTTGTTGTAGAAATGGCATGGTTGGTAGGTGTTAATTTCACAAATTACATAATAGAACAGTATTAATTTGATGCTTACATTTAAGAAAATGTTTCACAAAAAATTTGAATTTCTTTATCGAAAATATTTCTGTCAATTTCAGATATTTCTTTAGTCTCAGCTGTTTATTGTTTACCAACAAAATCCTTCTCAAAAGTTGTTTGCATTGAAAACTAATTTGTTGTCTGGGGAGTTTTATTTTCCTAATATGGTAATTCAATGTCATGTCAGTGTCAGTTCAGTATTATTCATGGGCGTAACATTTTTTTATTTACCTGCACAAAAGTATTTTTATTGGTGAAAATAATGTATTGGTGAAAAATTAGAAACTCGGAAAAACAAAAAAAAAAACAAGCAATATAACTTACAACTTTTATGTCAAAATTTTCAAAATAATTGTTTGCTGCGAAGATATGATTAGATAAAACTCTTTTTAATATTTGCGTTGATACAGTAGAACTAAATATTCATATAAAAGTTGTTTATAAGCAGATTGCATTCAATTAGATAATATTAAAAGATATAATACGAGAGTACAGTATGTCTAAAGAAGCTATATTCTTTTAACATTAAACTGTTAAACGTTAAACCAAAAATTAAGAGAGCCGATCCTATAGAATTGGCAGCCCGGGCGTGAAGACTTCTCTAGCGAATGTTTCATATTTTTATTAATTCTTAGCGATGATATAACTTATCTACCCATCTAAGAATACAAAATAAAACACTAATAAAAATGCCAATAAAAATTGAAACGTAAAAGTTTATTTTTTGGCCAGTGAAAAAATACTTTCCCAAGGTACAAAAAACAAAAATAAAATAATTTAAATCAAAATAGACAGTTTATAATTAGAAAGACAAAACAACAGTATTCACTCAGAAAATACAATCTAATAACAAAGAATATAGTTCTCAGGTAAATCTACTAGGTAAATCCATTATTTATTGAAGAGATCGTGTTCAAGAATTGTAAACTAGAAAGCAGTCTTAAATTGCTGGACGGGATTGAAACTAGCTCATCACTGACCTCGTAATCAAATAAACGGACATTTTTCCTAAGCTTCGAGATATGAAATTCATGATCAATATCTAAATTTCTAAAAAGTATTGTTGCTGTTTCGACAAATACTTTTAACATTATTATCAGATCTTTAAAATTGCAAATATTTTTTAAGATTGTCTAAGCTTTAAATGCATTCCGCTATATTTAATTCAGAATTTTGAAGCGTTTTAAGACATCAATTTTTGATAATAAATCATGCCAATTTACAAATGGACATAAAGTTTTTTAATGTTTTTGACTTTTAGTTAATGCTTTAGCACCCATTTTTGATTTCGTTTCTCTGATGGGTTCTCCAATTAAGGCATTTGATGCAGTAATGATGTTCTTTAAGTATTGTTTTAGAGGTCTAATAGTATTTAAACGAATTTACCACCTTGTTTAATTTAACGGTTTTAAAGTTAGACTTTTCACGTGCTTTTTTAGTAAATGCCATCAACATGGGGACATAGAAAAGTATTTATAAACCTCTTGTACTATATCAAAAAAACCTTAAATTTCACCACTAGACCTGGTACCGTTATTACCGACCTGGTTTAATGTTTGGGTTTAGGTTAAATGTTCGGTTTGGGATGACCTCCGCGGAGCTGTTTCGCAGAGCAGTCAACAAAACCATGATAGCATTGATGATCACCAACCTCCGGACCGGATAAGCCACTGCAGAAGAAGAAGAAGGGTTTAATGTATGAACCGCACAGGGCATGTATAATGCTATAGGATTTATATCAAGAATCTGTTTTTGATGCCGTATATGTTTCTCTTTCATGTTCGATCCATTGTCGTAGCCCTGACTCCGTATATCTAACTTCGAGCTGTAGACTATATAACAGCTTATCTAATAAAAAATTGCACATACCTTCTCTAGTTTTATTAGTTGCTGGTAAAAATACTAGAAAAAATTCTAAAATATCTAGCTTACCATCGGTAGTTTACACACACCTAACTCCTGGTTGGCTGGTATCAACTGTTACACTCCAATGTCCTTTTACCAGTGAGGATCTTTATGTTCCCTTGAGTAAAATCCTAAGCATCGACCACGTGTCACCACATTTTTAAAATTCAATAAGTTTATCATTATAAGTTCATCACGTATTTTGATTGTGTTAACAGTATTATTATTTCTTATTGTATATTAAATCGAAGCTAAAATGAATATGGTTTATCTCATTTTATCTTTTATATATTAACTGGTTGCGGAAAAAATGCCGATGCTGCATCCCTTTAGCTTTGCTCAAATAATTTATTAGTTCTAATTTACAAAGCGTAATATATAATAAGCATAGCGGTATATGAATAAGCCACCACTAGTATCGCTATTAAGCAAAAAACGTTTAACTATTGCCGCCTCTGCCACGAATTTTGCTAATAAATGAGGAATGTGCCAATGTATGTAAACAGTAGATAATAACGGGATGACACATTTTGCACTACACTTTTATTTCTTGAAGTATACTACCAAAAAAATGGGACTTAGGTATTTTGATTTTTCAATAAATTTGATTTTTTTATTGATAAAATTAGATGTTACTGTAACGAAAGTGTGGAAAAAGCACGGTTACACGAATTTTATATATTCGAAAACGCAGCAGCTTTATCCAGACGACTACTTTCGAAAAATGGAGTTTTGTGAAACTCTAATAACGAAGGCTAATAATGAAAGTAGGGAGACACAATCCTTCCATTACGAGGTATTGGGCGCGGGAAAACCAGCACAGAAGTGTTATTTACAGACTTCTTAAAAAAAAGTCTTCAAAAAGTTAACGTCTGAACTGGCATTTTAGGAGACCACATAATGGGTCCATTTTTTATTGAGGGCAACTTGAATAGCAGAGTATACGTCAATTTGTTACAAAATCATGTTCTTCCCGCTATTCTCAATTTTACTGATGTAAATCTGGAGAATGTTTGGTTCCATCAAGACGGCTGATAGGCTTGAATAATTAGGGAGGACTTAAACAATATTTTCGCGAATCGAGCTATCAGTGGAACAGACGATATTAAGTGGCCTGCGCGATCACCAAATCTTACACCTATGGACTTTTTTTTTGAGACATTTAAAAAGCATCATCTACGTTCATACTGAGGCTAGAGTTCAAAATTTGAATGAATTAAGAAGCCGAATAAGAGAAGTGTCTTCAATTCTATCACAGCAGAAACTCTTACATCTGTCCGCAGAAGTTTTTATGACAGATTGGGATACTGATCAGCCGTAGAAGGTCAAATATTTGAATCAGTTCTGTAGGGTATGAAGAATTATTTCTTATTTTAATAGGAATTATTTTTTATTTTCAATAAGAGTATATTTTTTGTTTTGTCTTTTTAAAGAACTGCGCTTTTATTTTTAATTCAACCACAGAAAATTGTTCACATTATTAAAAACCGATAAAAATGCACCGTCTTATATTGGTCAGTGTATTTTTATCGAGTTTATGTTATAAGAAATAAATCGGGTATACGTAAGCAAAACAAAAATCGACAGACAGAGTTGCATATCCCTTGCGTTGTTATGTCTTACTAAATGGTTTTGTCGTATTAAATAAATAAATAAATTACAAAATAAATAAGTAAATTACAATTACCTCGTATGAGGTGTTGTTGCCGATTTTAGCGCTTTATGTATTTGCAATATCCAATCCAAAACTTAGCGCACTGTATATACGAAAATGCAACATTCCATTTTAAAGTGAATGAGGAGGATACGAGAACTGAGTTAATGTAAATAGATTTGTACGTTAAGGAGACACTATATTTCGAAAGTTATTTACCATGGTACTTGAAAATGTCTTCAAATCATTATAGTTGGAAACTAGAGGCATAAATATTGACGGCTGCCATTTGACTCATGTCCGATTTGCCCATGATATCGTCCTAATAAAACAACTAAATTCCTCTTCGAAAAATTATTCTAAAAATGACAACGTCAAAGACAAAAGTGATGAGTAAGGACAATGAACACATATACAGACGGCACAAAATCACAAAACGATAGAAAAACATGTATATTCAGGATATACAATTAAAACAGACAAAGAAAATCAGACAGCCGCAATAAGACAAGTTGTGAAGCAATTGGGAAAATGAAGTATATACTTGGAAATAATAATTCTCTAGAAATCTGAAAAGTTTACGATGCCTGTAAACTTAGAAACAATGACTATAACAAAAAAGTCTGCAAATCAATTTAAGAGTTATGAAAAGAGCAATACAATGCTCTTAGAGATAGAAAAACAAATGAAGAAATCCATCAAAGAACCAAAATTGCAGATGTGTTATAACGTATTAAAGAACTAAAGTGGTAATGGGTAGGAGATGACAACTAAAAGGTATGCAGAAAATAGGAGTTTCAAATATGACAGCATGGAGAAATATGAAAGGGCCTGGAGAAAATGACGTCGTTTGAGATGGAATTATGTGTGATTCCAATTGTGCTTTCAATCTTCTACCAACGTATCCCGCCGTTATTCTCTGAGGTTTTTTTTGAGTGGACTATATTATTTCAATTGTTTATGTTACGTAGAGAATACGAGAAACTTGCAACTAACTTTTATTTCTTGACGTACTATAGGTAACAGAAGCAGGTTGGTACAATATGCTACAATATACGTTGCAAATTTTCTCTCACAGTCGACAGTCGAGCGAATTTTAATAATGAACAAAGGAAATATTATATTTGGAAAATTACAGGATTGTAAACAAAATCAGTTTACAACCAGGAGCTTATGTCCAGGAGTGTACAGAGAGTAGCTGAAGAAGAAAGATAAGTATACTTCAATGTTCTGTGTTTGGTTGGACTCCATGTTTCGCTTAACTGAACATCGAGTCTCATCATGTTTCTGATAATATTGTGATCTTTCAACTTTCATACATGTTTTGTACTTTCTCGAAGTCGAAATTTGAAATAACCGGAGACTTTGAGCACTCTCTGCGCATTACACGGCTGTCGAGGACTGACGACCATTTCAGCCGGCTGACATGTTACGCTAACTATTGCACTAGGCAATTATATTGAGACGTTTTCTCGTTGTCTTCATCACTACAGTATTTGTTTGAATCGCTTCGACATAACTTGCCCCACGCTTCAACGTGTTTCTCTGACATTGAAATATAACACTGTTTATGCCTATTGATAGAAGGGAGGTATTTAATTTCCCTCCTACCACTCATATCTGAAGGGCTTTTCCCAATTCGTCAACTAACGACGATCTGTCTTTAGACGCCTTAATATTGCTTTAATTACTATGGTCATTACTAACTTTTGCATTTTGGGCATTCTTGGCTTTGGAATTTATGTCTATTCATCATAAGAATAATTAAATAAATCTAAAAATTGTGTCAATTCAACCACCGAGGTTATGGTTACTATTTATGGTAATGAACATTAAACTACAATTAAATTACTACTATAAGTTATGAACCATTAGGAACATTCATTAATATAATTGAAAAAGTTAAATTTTAATGAATATTTTTATTGTTCAGTTATTTTTCTACAGATCTAACAGATTACTTTTTAACGACACAGTATCATTCGTAAATTGAATAACACTTGGGCCTCCGAAGATTTATTTAATAAAGAAAAGACAAATAACCTTTATATTATGATAAATCCATTCTTCGTTATCTTGAGTACTTGCTAGTTATTTCGCCACATAGATGTCAACATTTGTACATATTACATTGTTAATTGAGTTCCATTTATTTTCATATCAATAATTCCATTTATAAGGTAATCAAATAAAAAGTAGTTTAAATAAAAAAGCAATTATTAATTTCATTTTATTGATTATCACATATTTTTCATTATATATAAAAAAGATTACAACAAAATAAAATAATAACAAAATATCCCTATATTTACGTTTTTACATAATGGTTTCTATATAATCGCACATCATATTTTACAATAGATCAGATTGGACATAAATACAATATATAATAAAAATATTTCGACTGGCTGTTTCGGTTATGTAATCCAATCTTTCTATACATAGTAGTTATAAACAATTGCAAATTTATTTTAAACTTTGTAAACGACATTATACTATTACCCTTAAGACTTATCACTTTTTGTCTTGACAAGAGTAGTGAACCACATCTCCATTGGGATACCGTACCAAAGCGCTAAAAAATTATAAATTATATCAATATTTTTATTCAACAATATATATATATATATATATATATATATATATATATATATATATATATACATATATATATATATATATATATATATATATATTATATATATACATATATATATATATATATATATATATATATATATATATATATATATATATATATAAATCTAAAGGAATCTTGTGAAAGGGTTATCAGTCAATGGCATTTGGATATGAAATACAACGGTATTGCTACTTCTATCAATATATTTATTAAAGATTTTACACTGTGTTCATTTGAATACCCACCTCCAATATTTCAGATTTTTAAATTTGGTTTTATCTTTTCTTTTGGATAATAGCAACTGTGATGACGTCATTGATGATGTGATTTGGTTTATAGACGGAAACCTATATTTGTTCCATCAAAATTAAACAAATAAAGAAATTTTATGAACAGCAATATGTATTACTAATCGCTATTGTACTAAATAGTAGTGTTTGATATACAAGGTGTTAAAAGTCAAATAATTGGTTGGACTGTTTCAAGAACCATGTTTAATTTTTGACAGGAGAAACTAAAGAATTAGTTATTTAAATAAAAAAACAGTTTCAATAAGATGCTCAAATTAAGGTCCCCTGACTTCTTGGCAACCATTTTGTTACACATAATATTTTTTTAGATATTTACATATTCATACTAGAAACGCTGGATGTTGAAATTCGGCATCTGTGTAACTGATTTCATCAAATGACATTTCATCAATGCGCTATTACCGATCGAAGTACAAAATCAATTGAGAAATGCGATAATTTCCGTTGAGTATTTTTATGAGTTATTGATAAATCAATTACTATTAAAATGGGAATAAGCCACAATTAAAGGTTAAAGTACGTTTATTGACGTTTCAATTTCCACTTCGGAAATGGTTCTCAAAATACAAACATTGTATTTTGAGAACGATTTTCGAAGTGGAAATTGAAACGTACTTTAACCTTCAGTTCTGGCTTATTCTCATTTTAATAGTAATTACTTTAAAATGCCACAAAAATAGCTTAAGAACAATATTGATAAATCAGTTATATAGTAATAAATAAATTGTACAAGTATTGCAAATAGTTAAATACCTTTGATTTCCAAATCGTTTCCTACACACTGGACAAACATTAAACTCAGTAACTAATACATGCTGACTCTGCAGTTTTAATTTCATTTCTTGGCATTGTAAATGTTCAGCGTATAGCAATCCTTTCATCAATTGCATATTCCTTCTTTCTTGGGTGACCTTCTGCATAGCGACTAGTAAAAACTTATGAATTCTAGAAACAGGAATATTGTCAGGAAGTATAAAGAGAGCTTCCAAAGGATTCATGTGATTTGCATTTTCTTGTAATAGTCGTAAAGCCAATTCAACGTCAGGCTGGGCAGTTTTTGGAGACAGAGTCAGACCAGGAAGTGAAAGAGGACAACTGTCTGGATCCAAGATAAGTTTTATGAGAGATACGTAAACCTAAAAAGGATAACTGTATAATTTAACTTAATCTAAACAGATTTGTTGAATATTTATTTGTGGGTAACTTTTATTATTTGTTATTTAACGGAAATGTCACATTAACGAGGACTACTAGAGGCTAAAAAAGTGTTACAATTTACAACATACTACTACTATATAATATTTATACATTTATAATAGTTTATAAGTTTTTTTTTGGGCATACTTCGTCTAGGATAATTTTTTGAGTAGACCATGGCAAGATCTTAATTACCAGGCAAAAAATGCCTAATATTCATTACATAGGAGATCATCTACTTTAAAATAAGTATTAATCTTTTTTCCTGGTGTATTCTAGACGTAGTCCAGTTAGGAATGTTTGCAAGTGACGTTTGTTGGTTTTATTATCCTCCAAGGCACTTTTTATGGTGGATTTACAGATTGGTAGGTAATTGATTACAATTAAGACCACTCGCGCTCCCACAAACATGATACTTTCGACTGGAACCACGATTTTGTCACATAGTGAGCATTCACCCACTATTTCAAATACCGTGCACTTGTCTGCTTCTTATTACCGACACACCATGGAACTTTTATTTGGCTCTAGTATACCTAGTGTTCTTGTAACAAGGCGACATCAAATCCTCATAGCAAAAGTAAGTTCTGCAGAAGCTCCTAAGTGTGTCGAAGATTCGCCTGTAGGACTCTGACTGGTGTCATTAAGACCTATTTTGGGCCAGAGATAGAGTCCGCGACCGTCGTTCCTTTAAATTTGTTTTTGTTGACTTGTTAAAGACCAAGAAAAACGGAGAGATGTAGTAATGGAAGATGTCATAGAGATGAGAATCAGATATTGAAAGCTGACAGCTAAGAACAGAAAACGATGGAAATTATCCATCCAGAAATGGTCCTTAAAGACCTGTTAATGCTATACATACATGTAAAATACTACGATTTATTTAAAAAAAATGCCTAAAATCATATACACAATGATAATTGGAGAAAATGTTTTTTTTCTGAAGTGCAAATCGAAACGTAAACTAACGATTATAAAATATTATTTTTATTACAATAAATTGTGGCTTAATTCTATATAAACATGATATTTAACTTCGACATGCCACAAGAAAACAGTTTCAGAACCTTTTAACAATAAATCATTACTTACATTTTGGCTTCCAGGTGCATTATTTTCAAAAACTTTTTTGCAGTATTTCTCAGCCTTTTCTATATCCCCTAAAGCTCTAACGTAAATTGTAACAGCTTGCTCGTGTTTACCAAGTCTTCCGAGAATAACGGCTCTCTCTTCTAGCAATACATCAGTAGGAAAACTGCTCAGTATGTTCTCAGCAGTGTATTGTTTACTATTTTCTAAAAATTGTAACAACTTTTTTCTTGTAGGCTCGGAAGCTGTCGGGCCTTCAGCAACTAACTTTTCTCGATACTGGTGAATCAATGCGTTGTGAAATAATGGATTAGTATCTTTCCAAATATGAACCACGTGTTCTAAATAAGGAATAACTACGGACTTGTGCGATTTAAGAAGAAAATCGAGAATACGAGGTCGAGGAAACGATTCTACTTCTGCTACATCCTCAGTAAAGATCTAAAACAATGTTTATTTAGACTATAATATGTACATTAAATTGACAACACTAACGCATATAAAATATTTAATTCCTAACTAAAATCCTTTAGCCAAGATCATTATCTGAGCTATGGTTAGGTTAAAATATCACTATATAGAACAGGGCTTTCCAAACTGTGCGTCGCGACGCCCTGGGGCATCACTGCATAGTCCTAGGGGCGTCGCGTGTCAGCGCGGACTTTTAAAACAGTTAATATATTTATTTAATTTTAAATGAGTATAAAATATATGTATTAACAAATAAATTAAATAAAAAATGTAACATCAAGTCGATAGAGCCTTGAATTATCCGAAATTATTCAAAAAATTGTTAATCTTGAAAACTAAGGCTGTTTTATTGGTACACCAAAATCTAGAGACAGTGTTTTCTCTGATATTTACCGACAAAATATCTCGAAATTTCGATACGTTATTCAAAATTATGTTGTCTTTAAACTGATGGTTTTACTTTTTTAATTTTTTTGAAAGTTCTTTTGAAATATCGGATTATGCAGTTTAACGTTCTATTATAACCAAACTTTTTACGCCCATCATTTGAAAGAGTTTTTTTCTGTTATCTTTGATTTTTTTTTCACTTTTCTGTGTACAGGAATAATCGAGAAAAGCGTGTTCAAACTTTGAAGAAAATTGCTAAAAAATACTGAAATCTAATAGTGAAACGTGTTACTCATCATTGGCACTTAATTTTATCGTTATCGCCTTCGTGACGTCAAATCTCATGAACGTACGGTCAGTTAGTTCGATTTGAAATAATTTTCAAGCTATAACTGCAAAATTGTTTATTTGTTTGTGACAACAAATTGTATTTTTTTTTGATAATAGTGTTTTTATGTTATTTTAAATTTATTGTAAATAAACACCATGATGTTTTTTGCAGTCACGTTTCACAAATTTTTATTCAATACTATATTTAGCTAAGACATATAAATTAAAAATGTAATAATTCTTTTTAAAACATCTACGATAATCAATCAAAAAAGGTATTCCCGACAAAACTAATTTGAATGGAGAATAATGCATTTGTTGTCATTAAATTACCCGTCGGCCGGCGCCACTGAGTAAACAGCTGTACCCGTCGGCTGTTTCAGCAGTGTAGAAAAGCAAGTGATACGCCCATTTCAAATCACAGTGTGCTTTGACAGATAAAACAGCCTTAAGGTCGATTCAGACACATCAGTCACGTCACAGTCACGGTACCGAACCGGTCCTATTTGGTCACAGAACTATCAACTATCTGACAGCTGGGAAACTGTTTGTCAACTGATGAGTGTGAATGCCGGCAACATATTTGTATTAAAGAATATTTTGTATGACGGATTGTTCGGTTCGGCGCAATCACTGTGACGAGACGTGACTGATGTGTCTGAATCGACCTTTAGTGCGCATTCTGTTTCGGCGGTCGGCTCCCCACCCCGTGTTCCCTACTGTCGTGGGTTATGTCATTTAATCAAGCTTTTGTTTTGTTTTATTTCGCACGCGAAGTTTTTTGCTATTAACAATGTATACTTATATTCAAAAGAATATAAAACGAAGTGAACAATCAGGCAAGAGCAGCAATGTTAATTTAAGAAGAAATATAGGAAATATGACGACCAATATTTGGATTTTGGATTTACCTGCGCTATTAAAGGGAATGTAGAACTTCCACAATGTGTTGTTTGTCAAAAAGTTTTGGCGGCTAAAAGTATGCTTCCTAATAAACTAAAACGGCATTTGGAATCAACTCACAGTCATTTACAAGGTAAGCCAAAAGACTTTTCTGTAAAAAAATTGCGAGAGTTAAAACATCAGACCACAGCTTTGGTTTCAAGAGCTCTACCAAAGCATTGCTCGTCTCTTACATGGTAGCTTACAGTGTTGCCAAATGTAAAAAATCACATACGATCGTTAAGCAACTGATCTTACTTGCAGCGGTTGACATGGTAACAATAATGGTTGGAGAATCGGCAGCTAGAGAAATAAAAATGTACCTCTTTCAAACAATACGGTTAGTCGATAGAAATCCTTGATACCTCTTTAAAAAATATGTTTGCACAACACATGCTATAATTAGGAGAAAACTTTTCTCTCCTATAATTAGGAGAAATATTTTTCTGAAGATATGGAGCAATATGTGCATATGACTGGGTCAGAAACCTTTTCCTGTCCATCCACGCAAGTCATCGATAATTTCAACAGAGGAAGGAGAACAATTGACAGAATTGTTTTGTAATTTCAGCCTAAAGCTTCAATACGACAAGGACAAACTGTTTGAATTTTGGAGCTCAGTTTCTCATGAATATCATGTCATCAGCACTGCTGCATTAAAGGTTTTATTACCATTTGCGACTTCGGACTTGTGCTAAACGGGCTTTTCTACAGTTGTAGTAGTAATACAGTACAGGTGAAACAGAAAAAGAGATGAGAGTGGCAATTTACAAACTGGAGCTTCGGTTTCATAGGCTGTGCTCAAAAAAGCAAGAATATCCCTTACATTTACCAGCCAGTTACATAAATAAATATCCCTTTTCATTTTTGTGCCTATGTTTTTATTTCGTTCTTAATTTTTAATAAAAAATATAAATGTTCAAATAGTGTTTTTGTTATAACTATCACCTGTTACTAGGCTAGTACTAAAATTGGTAAGTATTATTGGAGGTTGGGTTGAGGGGGCGTCGCATAAAAATACCAATGTCCCAAGGGTGTCACAGTACGAATAAGTTTGGGAAGCTCTGATATAGAATGTATCACAAATATTAAACAACTATAGTCTGTGCCTCCTTGACTTTACAGTACAGGAACATACGGCAATGCAATCTTTTTTTTTTCTTCACTGCTCGAATTTTTGTATTTTTCACAATACCGACATTCATCTTTTTTGTGAGAAAAGAGCGCTTAGTTAAATTCATACTTACAAAGTTTACGATATAAACCAATTTTTACAAATTCATCATTGTCTCTTTGGAAAACAGCTTTATAATCATTGTACAGATCTGTCAATGTATTACCTCCTTCTATATATTTTTTTGAATTACTAATTCGAAAATAGTGGCTCTCCATTGTCGGAATTGAAGAAAGGCTGGTAGTGAAAGGTGTTACAAAATGTATTAAGCATGCTATGTTTACCTGTTTGATCGTTGCTTATAAGCCAATTCCTGTGTTCCCAATAACAGTTCTTCTTCTTCTTAGGGTGCCTGTCCGTTCCGAACGTTGGCGATTATTCTGGCTATGATGATTTTGTTGGTTGCTATACGAAATAGCTATGTTGAGGTCTTTCTATACCATGCTCTCAGGTTAGCAAGCCAGGATATTCTTCTTCGTCCTGGGGCTCTTTTTCCTTCAATTTTAGCCTGCAAAATGCATTGCAGTAGCTCGTATCTGCCTTGATTTCTCATAATATGTCCCAAGTACCCCAGCTGACGGCTCTTCACAATGTTTACCAAATCCGCGGTTGTGTTCATCCTCCGCAGTACTTCTTCATTGGTGACTTTGTCTGTCCATTGTATCTTAAGGATTCTTCTGTATAACCATAATTCACACGCCTGAAGTTTTGATAGAGTTTCCGCCTTCAATGTCCATGTTTCTACTCCATACAGAAGCACTGAGTATACGTAACATTTAAGGAGCCTTATTTTTGTTATCAGGGTGAGGTCATGGCTTTTGAACACAGAGCTCATAGCCAAGAATGCACTTTTGGCCTTTCCGATGCGACATTTAATCTCTTGGATATAGTCCCACGACTCATTGATTATAGTTCCCAAGTAAATGTATTGTGAGACACGTTCAATTCTCATTTGGTTCACATACAGATTTGTTCCAGTTATGTTTTGTTTGTTGATGATCATTAGTTTGGTTTTGCTGGTGTTTATATCCAGTCCATAGGTTCTACTTGTTTCTGTTATTTTGTTCATTAAGTTTTGCAGCCCTTCTATGGTATTGGAAAACACTATTGTATCGTCTATTAAGCTTGACTCCATTTATTGAGATGCCTTCATCAATATCTTTTAGGGCCTATTCAAAAATGTGCTCCGAGTACAGATTGAATATCAGTGGTGAAATTATGCACCCCTGTCTCACTCCTCTTAAGATTTTGACCTGTTCTTTATTGGGACCGTGCAAGTTCGGAACAGCGACACCCGGTGTCGTAAATCAGCAAAATTTACTGCGCTTTCATGTTAGATCGAGATAACCGGATAACTGCCAAGGACGTGACCCCAAAAAAGAATAAGAAGAAAAAGTAAGATTGAGGTTATGTCGAAAAGGTAAACGATGTAGCGTAAATACAAATAAATATATTATTGAATTACAGCATTACTGTTAATATGGATTCAATAATAAAAACTGGATTTGAGAAAGTAAATCACCAAATAACTTTTCAACCAAGCACTGAGTCAAAGGGAAAAGCTTTAGTAGTGGCAAATGTCAAAAAAGAATGGAAGAATTAAGAAAAATAAATTACCATAAATAATGCTAATGCATAAATTAGCAGGTTAAGCCCATGATATCATCATATTGGTTTGAACAATTAATTCTTTCCCTGTAAACTTTTGGACAGCGAATATATCTTAATCCATCTTCAGAAAAACTTGAACTTGATGCATTCTTGTAAACTTCAAAAAAATAAAATTTAAACATTAAACTTGATTTTTGGGTTAAAATGAACTTTAAGTGAGTGTTATGAAACTAAAATTTACACTTAAACGTAAACTTTTATTTATTATTTATTTCAAACTGACTTTAAAATCGGGCGCAAGAATAATGCATAATTTAGGTTATGTTACTTATGCTTTTTTATGATATAAATCCAGTTTTCTGTTTGTAGTAGCTTTGTGCTTCGAAGTTGGAAACGAATAAAACTTAAATTGACAATTTTTTGTTGTATTTTTACAATTTATAACACAGCATTTCCTAAATCCCATTTTCTTCAGTGACAAAAGGTGTAAATAAACAAAACGAATATGACAATTGACAATATGAATTTATGAAATCTAAGAAATGTGCAGTAAAAAATGCAAAATTTCTCCGCTACTCGCGCACGATCGTTTCTCGTGTCCCCTCCAAGTACTAGCACGTAGCCAATATTCTCCATCTATTCGGAGTACCGCTGATTGATTCCAATACAGATTAGCTATAATTTTTAATTCTCTTCCATCAATCCCTGTCCTCTTCAGCACTTCCATCATTTGTTTATGCCTGACTCTATCGAAAGCCTTCTTGTAGTCAATCAGGCATGCAAAAACATTACAGCTGACATCTCTACATTTCTGAAACAAGATCTGCACGCTAAATAAAGCTTCCCTCGTACCAACGGCGTTCACAAATTCACGTACCATATTCGAATAACAGTTCGAATACATCTATTAGCAAGTCCAATGGTGGATATAAAAAACTTTTGCACGCTCTTATTTTTTCGGATGTTAAATGTTTTACCTCCTATATATCTAACATTTTTAAAACAATAAATTTATTCCTTTTATTTTATGTGACAACTCCAAAATTCTCACTGATACAGTTTGAAAATATCTAAAATTGTCTGTTATAGTGGCACAACTCAAATGTGCCGGTATTGCATAGAAACTTGATATCGACACGGCTCGTCTTCCGCTGCACAACTAAAAAGGGTCAGTATTGTAAGAAACAATTTATCTCAACCGACAACATGTCATAGCGATACTATTGATGTCTAACGGTCATTTTTGCTATTATTATTGTGCCAGTATTGCAGGTCATAAATATGGCTTTTTCAACCCCTTTGGTGATGTTAATTAAATTTTGTCAATTGAGTTAAGCTACTATTGCATATAGCCGGCGATATATCAATAAATATATTTTTTCAAAACTTATAATTGAACACTGACATAATGATCACTTTTTGAACATAATTTTATCATTACATATTTTTTAGTAGATCGATATAGTATTTCAGTAAATCAGTAAACTGAATAGACATGATCTCTCTTTTTCCTTGTCTAAGATTAACATAAAAATTTAACCTCACTTATATGTCAATTTATGACAGAAGATGAATTTAAATGCATGCTCAAAGTGAACATTTTTGCTTAAGTCGTCACAGTAGGTGACTTGAGCTTGAGAAACAATATTTATACTTAGTACAACGGATTCAAAGTATTTCTTAAGATCAAATTTTCACTTAAATCACGTTGGTGGAACTGGCCGTTAATATTTTTACAATACTGACTGTTTAAGAACGGACATGTTCATACAATAAAAAACTCTAGGCAGCATCCTATAGTTAAAAATGTCAATGTTACCTTTAGACCTTCTTCAGGCGACTCATTTAATACCCAATCGGCAATATCGAGAATTAAACCCATATTCTCGGATCCTAAATGTTGTAAATATCCAACTATTCGTTCTATGCTACCTTCAGATTGAAGCAATTCTAAGGCTCTTCTGTGTTGTCCTTTTGTTTGATATAATATGATGAGTTCGTTATGTTTTCCCATTTTCTTCAATATCTTTTCCGTCTCAACAAAGTGACAACGGTTTAATCTGATCAAAGGCACAACTAATGCGTCGTTTGTTTGTAGATAACATTTTAGTAAAGTTGTGTCAATGATCTGCAGCAACTGATTAGTGGATTTATTGGTGACTTTATCACTGAGGTTGCCACTGGCATTAATATTTGCCTAAAAATGTAAAAAAAAAACATTACATTTGGAAATGAGATTAGAAAAAATTAATTTGTTAAATAAATGTTGCATAAAAAGACTTGTAGTCCAGTGCACCATGGAAAAGGCCAAGAGCTACCAAAAATTGTATTAAAGTGCACCAAAAAGAGTTATTAGTAAAACATTTAAGTTGAGATTTCATGTATACTTTGGAACAGATTTCTAAATCAGTACATATTAAATATAGCTTTTTACGAAATAGTAGTCACAGTAAACAGGTGAGTCCATTTACACGACGAGGAGTGTCCGCTATACATGTAAACTTTTTCAATTTTATTAAAATCTATAAAAATAATAAAATCTCTTTAATCAATTTTAAAAATATTATTTAAATTTTAAAAATACAGAAAACATGGTATGAAGCTTCACGCTAGTCTACAGTACCGCTTACTTTACCACTTTGTTTACAATGATTTCATATTATTTATTTATTTTACTGAAAAGTTTTTTTTGCCAACTGTCAAACATGGTCTATGAATAAATTTTTTGTTTAACATATTTGACTTTTATTTATTTAAGTATATATATATATATATATATATATATATATATATATATATATATATATATATATATATATATATATATATATAAACAACAAAGTTTATTAGGGCTGCAGTCAGAAGTTTGGCCGGGATGTAACAGAAACACTCTTTTGGCTTTAGGTCTAGCTTTCGGAATTGTTTAATTCCTTCTTCAAGACATAGTCGTTGAGATTATTTGTATAAAGCTATGACACTTAACATTAATAACACACATATAAAATATAACATATAAAATAATGGACAAAATACATTTTTAAAATTTAGTTAAAGATAGTAAAAATTCGTTTGTGACATTTTAATGGTGTGTTTTAACTGCGGTTTTAACTGTTTTAACAGCAGTTAAAACACACCATTAAAAGATGCCACAAACGAATTTTTACTATCTTTAACTAAATTTTAAAATGTCCATTATTTGTCCATTATTTTATATGTTATATTTTATATGTGTGTTATTAATGTTGAGTGTCATAGCTTTATACAAATAATCTCAAAGACTATGTCTTGATAAAGGAATTAAACAATTCCGAAAGCTAGACCTAAAGTCAAAAGAGTGTTTCTGTAACATCCCGGCCAAACTTCTGACTGCAGCCCTAATAAACTTTGTTGTTTATATATATATATATATATATATTGAATAAGTTGTATTGTATTTTATTAATTTTATTTTTTTTATAATAATAAATGTAGTTTTTAAATATGGGGTTCTTTGTTTAATTTAATATTCGTTTAATATTTAATTTAATACTCGGCTAGCTCAATTATGTGTTCTAAGCAATCTGTCACTGTGTGACGTCGACTCTGTAGTCTCCTGGTAGAGTTCAAAAAGAAATTAAACCAAAATTTACTTTAGACTTTTGATAAATTAACCCAAATGAAGCACGTTATTTATTAATATTGAACAAATTTAATATAAACAATAAAATTCGTCTGCAACTTGGGTTGCCTTTAAAAATTTACAAAAATAGGAATCGTGTAAATCTTAATGTGGTTAGTGTCGTGACAATAAAAATTTATTACAAAATGTGGAGACTCTCTACAAGTACCTAAAAACTAAATAAATATTGCAACTTTATAAAGTGTTTAAATGAACTATAAAGAAAAAGAAACTGAACACTTTACTCCGCTGACTATTCAAATATAATCAAATTTTCAAATGATCCCCAAAATTATTATCCAACCTCACTTTAAAACAGTTCTGATTTCTTTAAAGAAAACTAACTACTCGCAAAATAATCGGTGAAACTGGAATATCAATCCTCTCTTCGGAAGTTAAGGTACATACTATTCTATTTTTAATTTAATGATCATTAATATTTTCAATTTTTAAGGCCTATCGCAATTATGTTAATTCATGAATTTTAATTTTCTCAATTTAAATGACATTTCTATACTCCAATATAATTTATAAGTCAAATTGTTTCTCTTACTCTCTGGAACAATTTCTGGATATCTCTGCTGTGAAAACTGTGGAAAAACTAAATTCTAATTAGACGAGTTAAAAAACACTCCCGACCTATTCCACAGTTTCAGGGCTCTCCTTCGTCCAAAAAAACCTCGTCGGCGTCCTCTCCAAAAAACCAATTATTATCCGTTGCTAACAGCAACCAACCTTCATTTTTTTTTCTGTCTTCTATTTAAATATTTTAAATCATAAAACTGTCCTGTTTGACATATTTGTCAAGCCACATTACTTTCTCATAATCACTTTAATCACATCCAATTTGGGAATTTATAAAAAAAAATGTTCAGATATAAAACTTATTCTATTGCAATATTAATACAATTTATTCTTTTCATCTCCACATCATTGTAATTTCTTATTTAACAAAACCGCTATTAATTTAGCTCCCACAGACTTGCTTGACAGTTTATTTCTGACGTTTATTAAAATTTCCTTGTTTAAATATTTTTTTAAGAATTCTTCTTTTTTGTTCTTTTTAAGGTTTAGACGATTCACCTATACACTAGGTAACTATACTATTCAGAAATTATTAACACTATACCAGGTAAGTCAAAATTAATTTATTTAACAATTTACTAATCTTTTTCTCTCTTTTATTTCAGAGTCGAACCCACATTGTGATGGCTTCATGAGATTCATGAAGAACAAACTCATATAAAAATCCATTTAAGTTGTATATTTTTTAACATATTGAAATCATTTCAATATATATATATATATATATATATATATATATATATATATATATATATATATATATATATATATAATATATATATATATATATATATATATATATATATATACTTACTGGAACTTACGCCAAATATCCATAATAATAAAACAGAGAGGAATCTATGGCATTGTCTTATGGTTTCTTCTTCCACATTAGCTTGTTATCAAAACACTTACCTGTACATCTGTTGTCTTCAAACCATGTCTCATCTCTGTCAAATAATCAATAAGAGCCAAAAGACTTGTTTCATGTTCTGTTTCTGTTAAATCTCTAGTTGGTTCTGGAACTTCGGTTCCTTGCTGTTGTTGTGGCAATAAATCAGGAAACAATCGAATTACGTCGTATGCATCGGTTTCTAATTTCAGAAATTCTTTCATGCTTTCGTGAAATTGTTTCTTGTGAAATAGATCATACGCCAGCAATGTTTGGATGTGATGAATTTTCTCTTGCTTTTCATCTTCGGATTCTTTTGACATTTGCTGACAAAAAACGAAATGTAGTAAACGAAGTTATCATGTAAGGAGTATTAATAGTATTAATATAAACCAGAATTTTAAAATCCATAACAGGGCCCTTATTCTATATCATTTTTATGTCAAAATTTAAAAGCGACTACGCCATGACAGTCTCAATCGCTAGCGATTCTCATTCATTTCGATTTTAGTTAAAAGAGGGGATATTTACGTCATCACTTTGACACTGCTCAGAATTTGGGTTGGCCGTCTTGTTTATTGGCTGCACGTATATTATACGTCATTGGCTGCACGCTGCACAACGCTTGTTAATGTTTGTTTTGTTTACGTTACGCCTTTTGTTTCTTGTTTGAGTTGCTAAATTTTTAGTGGCCATTCTCAATTATTATATTTTGAATTGAAAGAAAATGGATGGAGAGGCTGTCGGTGATAATGGCGCTAAATTGTCTGTGGGCCAAAAAGAAATTATGGTGGCTTTTGACTTAGTGGTTCTGTTGTATTCTAATATATTTTTAAATTTACTGCAGCTTAGTAATACTTACCCTAAACATTTTGGGTCTCCTAGAGGCATAAACACCCTCCTCCAAATATGGTTCTAATATCCTTATACGTATAAAATAATTTGCAGCTTGTTTATTAAGGCGAAATTGCTGCCTAAATTGAGCATCACTTAGTGAAAAAGGATTTTGAGTATCCCATAACATTCTTCTTATCCTCCGTTGTGAGCGCCGGATATCTATCATCTCTAATTCCTCTAAAACCAGCAAAAGGTCCATAAAACGCAGCCATATTAATACTGTTTGCCTCAGTTTTCCATGCAAGAATCAAACAAAACACAACACCGCCTAAACTGAGCCTAATCTCACTTCTCCCAGTCCACCCAGTCATGGCACATTAATTTCGACTCGAAATGAAATGTAAACCACTTTCTTGAAGTTGAAATTAATTTCGAAAAATCGAAAATTAGTGACGTCCTTTGGTTAGTTCAGCTGAAATCCACTATGCTCACAAAGTTACATTTCGACGTCGCCATATTAATTTCGACATGTTTTAAGTCGAAATCTCAATTAGAATCAGGGCCCAGGTATTGTTAGAAAATTTAAGCGTCGCGTCGTACATTTAAATATAAATACTTACAGTCAGTTTTAATGCAAGTTGAAACTGTTTTGCAGCAACAAGGCTTTCTCTTTGTTTCTCTATATCCACTGCTTGAATACTCCATATTTGACTTATGGAAGCTGCATACAATACGCCTTGTTGTGCGGCAACGATAAATCTTACTTTCTGTAGATCATTTAACGTTTGGACTAGGCCATTAGGTTCCAAAGTAAGCACCTAAAAAATGTTTGTACAATTTACTATAGCAATTATAAATTATTACTTTGTTTAAAGTTGTTTTTGCAACTGGTGGCTCATTATAAATGCAGATCTTCAAATATATGTTAAGGGTTACCTTCAACGCCATAAACCATTGCCGTGCAAATTTAGTTGAAGCCGATAAGGTTTTTTTTTTGGAAAGTTACGAGTTATGGACTAATTTGTTTAATTACATATACTTGTCTCTTAACACTAATAATAATAAGAAAATAGAAGCACGAATTTTGTAATGTTGTATCTTAGGCAGATAATTACCTTTAATTTTTTTCCGCTCCTTAAATTTTAAGCCAGCTTAAAAGTGAACATCTACGACAAACAGTGCAAGAAGAAATGAACACCAGCCTCAGTATAGCAGAAAGTCAAATCTGCAGAACAGACAACATAGATGAAAAGCTTAAGTATATAAACACTACAATAAGAACTACGGGAAAGAAACACCTAACTACATCTGCAAAGAAACACAAGGTATGGATGACACCAGACATACTAGAACTAATGGATGAAAGATGTAAAATGAAAAATAATGCACACAAATAAAGATTTATGGATTGAAGAACAATGTGTAGAAATGGAAAACTATGAAAGAAATTATGATACATTCAATGTACATAAAAACGTAAAAGAAATTACAGGAACTCAAAGAAGACATCAAATAAGTTTGATATTTGAATAAGAGAAAATTAATAGATGGAGTGAATACATAAGAGAATTATTGAGCACAACAGAAATAACATGGTTCAGGTAAATGGTGAAACGGGACCTGAAATCCTAAAATGTGAAATAGAAGTGGCACTTAGAAATTCCAAAACTGGAGGCAAATGGACCTGATGAGATTCCTACTAAATTCCTAAAGCTCTTGAATGATAACTCAATAGGTATAATATTGCACTTATTTAAGTAACACAATATACAAAACTGGTATTATACCTCAAGAGTGGCTGTTGTCTACATTCGTGACACTGCCAAATAAATCCAATGCAAAAGAATGTTCAGAATATCGAACAATATCTTTAATGAGCCATCTACTAAAGATATTTCTAAAAGTCATCCACAACCGAGTTTATCAAAAGTTGGATTCAGATATTAGTGATACACAGATGGGGTTCAGAAAAAGACTAGGTACTCGAGAAGCTCTCTTTGGTTTGAATGTTCTTACACAAAGATGCCTAGACGTTAATCAGGAAGTACATGCATGTTTTATCGATTCTGAAAAAATGTATGACAGAGTAAGCCATGATAAGCTAAGATACATTCTTGAAAGCAAGGACATAGATAATAAAGATCTGCGAATAATTCTCAATCTATATTGGAATCAGAAAGCTAACATCAAAATAGAAAATGAGATATCACAAGCAATAGAAATACGTAGAGGAGTACGACAGGGATGCATTTTATCACCGCTGCTATTTAATGTTTATAGTGAAAGCATCTGCCAAGAAACCCTTTTGCAAGCAAACGAAGGAATCGTAATGAATAGAGAGGTTGTAAGTAATATTCGATACGCAGACGACACTGTACTAGTTGCAAGAACAGTAGAAGAATTACAATGATTACTTACAAATATAAATATTGCCTGCAACAATTATGGCATAAATATCAATATCAAAAAAACTAAGTATATGGTCTTCAGTAAAAACATGGCACATATTAGTGTAAACGGCATTCAAATTGAAAAAGTATCAAGTTACAAATACTTGGGGACTTCAACAAACGAAACTGGAGACCAAAACAATGAAATAAAAAGACGTATCGAAATTGCCAGGGCCACCTTCATAAAGATGAAAAAATTCTTCTGCAACAGAGATATAAGCATCCCTCTACGATTAAGAATACTAAGGGGCTACGTATTTAATACGCTATTATACGGTGTAGAGGCCTGGACGTTCAAAGAGAACAACATAAAAAATATTGAAAGTTTCGAGATGTGGTGCTACCGTCGAATGCTGAAGATACGTTAGGTTGAAAGAGTCACAAACTTTGAAGTAATACGAAGGATAGGAAAAGACCCAGAAATTTTGTCAACGATCAAACGAAGAAAACTCGAGTATTTGGGTCACCTGATGAGAGGACATAAATAGGCATTACTTGAAAATATAATACAAAGAAAAGATGGAAAGCGGAATCCAGGATGGAGAATAATGTCATGGTTGCGTAATTTGAGAGTGGTTTGACTGTACCACTAATGAACTCTTTAGGTCAGCTGTAAACAAGCTCAGGATAGCCTTGATGATTTCCAATCTCCGATAGCAGTGGCACAAAAGGAAGATGAAGAAGAAATCAAAATAAAACGACCAACTTAACTAAAATAAGAATTATTCCTGATGTCGCTCAATGAGCAGGTCAGTCCAAACGGTAATAGATTTTACACGGGTAATGAAATGACAGTTCCGAAACCGTATATTGAACGATCACAAGTTAAGATGAAACGCCAAAGGGACGGTACGATGAACGGTCCATTTTCAGTTGGAATGCATTTTATATATTGCGCAGAAGCTTTACCGTACATTGTACGGTTTCTGGACGAGTTGGAACAGATCTTATATCGATGGTTTATTATAGTAACTTAAAATTATAAAAAAAGTCTCACCTCTATAGAATCGTTTAAAATTCCTAAAGCGTAAGGTTCGTCCCAAGCTAACGTAATTGGAATATCAGACCATCTTAAAGCTTTATTTCTTTCCGTTTCGCCTTTCACATTGACTAGAACTGTTTGAGTTTCCCTGCACAGTGCAAATGTTGTATCAGAAACTCGCGTCATACATGGTTCATTCAATCTAGTACTGCTCGTTGGAAATAGTGAAGATTGTTTACCATTTAACTGCAAAGTAAACAAATTATGAAAAATGGATGAAAGAACAGTTAATCCCCAATTTGCCTGTTGGATATGTTGTTGTTACTGATAATGCGTCATATTATAATGTACAAATTACAAACAAGATCATATTCTATATAAATTTGACAAAGTACTGCAAGATGTCGACATGTTTTTTTAAAACTTCCTCCATATCTTCCAGACTTGAACCTTATAGAAATAGTTTGGGCGCAAATAAAAAATGAAGTTGCAAAACAAAAGTTTATTTTAAGTTGACGTAAAAGTGTTGGTGGAACAGGAATTTTCTAGAGTAACTGTAGATAACTGGAAGAAAGTGTGTGAACATGTTGTCCTGTGTAAACCTATGTGAATATAAGTTTTTCAAACTGTACTGTATGTATGTATTATTTTTTTACTTTATTACAATCATTTCGTATATTCTTCTATTTAACTTTGTGACGTTTAAGCGAGTAATAATATAAATAATAAAGGTTTTAAAGTTAAAACAATCTTTGTAATCAATATTTATTAATACTGTAATCTATAATGCGTATGGTATTATGGTTTCACATACAGACAATATATGTATGTGAAATATTATAATAATATGTAATAAAATGTTATAATATACTATAATAATAATATTATAAATATTATAATAATAAAATCTTTAACAATTTGATTTAAATCATAAGTATTTTTGGAACGCCACTGCTTTGTTTGGTGAGGCTTTACTGTTCCTATAATCTGTCTACCGAAAAGACGGAGTAAAAAAAATGCATGATCTGCACGTGATTGTTGAAAAGCGACAGTCAAATTACTTACTTCGCAGAAGTTGTATGGGTCAGTTATCGGTATTGTATACAAGGGCGTACGTTAAGGTATTTTGAAGAAATATTGTGCTTTGTATTGTGTTATTGTGTTAATTGTATTTATTTTATATGTTCAGACTTATATTGTGTATTGCACATTTTTGTGTTTTGTAAAGAAATTAGGTAAGTACTTGTGGATGTAATCACGCAATATAAATATGTATAAATTATTTCTGAATCACAATTTTCTAAAATTTTCAGCAAAAAGTTGGGTAAAGCTGATGTATCACTTAATGGCTGAAATGTTACAAAACATTCGATACTAAATTCATAAGATTTTAAATTAACGTATTTTATCTCCGAGATAAAGGGGCATATTTTTTGGGTGATCCATTAATATGTATAGACATGTGTATTAATCTTAATGATGATTCTGAAACTTCTACTTCCGACAGCGAATAAAATTTTTTAAAATCACAATCAATTGAGACCAAACATTCTTGCCCTTTGACAAGTGAAGAAATGGAGATCGCCCTTAAAGACGGCTTTAAGGATTCCTTCGCCGGGAAAAGACCCAGGTTTCGACGGCATCCACTCCGAATACATTCTCAATTGCATTCAGAATCCCACGGTAATTTAAACATTTAAAATTTATAGCAATACTAAAACCAATAAACCAGCTGATTACCCAAAAAGCTATCGACCAATTTCTTATAATATAAATCTTATAGTATAAACTACTTGAAAGACTAATATTTAAAAGAATCAGCCCAATGATCTGCAGCTTTCAACACAGTCTGACCAGAAAAAAATGATTTATAGACTCTTACGTACTTTGTCTTGCAAATTTACCGCTAGACTAATAGAAAATATGCTCACCGACAAAGTATTTCAAGTAACTATGGGATCCGAAATAAGTACCCCCAGAAAACTCAAAAATAGTCTACCACAAGGCTCGGTACTCGCAGTATTGCTTTATAGCCTTTATATCGCAGACGTATCGACAACATCAACAAAGTTTGGCTATGCTGATGACTGGGTTTTATTAACAAAATCACAAAAGAAGCTGAAGAGATTCTGACGGAAGACAGAATCTCTGCCGCAGAATTAGCTGCAGCTAAGGAGTTCAACATGACCACCAAATGGATCCATGAATGGTCGGAACCTCAACCAAATACAGTTATACCTTGCATCACAGAGACACCTCCTGGATTTTATCTACCACGTAAGACCTGGTGCACACTTAAAAGCATCAGAACTCAACATGGTCGTGATGCGTATATGTTGTACAAGTGGGGTAAGCTACCATCACCTACACATTTAAATTTACATGTGTATAATATCCACATTGCCTAAAGTTAGCCTATAGTATTTTTGATAGCCATTATTGAAGAAAATTTGATAAAAAAATTGGAGCGACCATCCATAATAGTCTTGGATAATGCATCCTACCACTCAAGACTAGAAGAGAAATTTGCTTCAAGCAGCTGGACAAAAGAAGAAATAAAGTTGTAGTTGACAGAAAAGAAAATTCATCGCAGTGACATATTTTTAAAAGTCGATTTACTTCAAAGGTGTGGAGAGTACAAAATTCAAAAGAAATTTGTTACTGACTACCATTCCGCCAGTATAATGCAATTGAGTTAGTTTGGGGTACAGTCAAACATGTTTATGATAAACATTCATCCAAAACAACAGATGACGCTAGTGTTATTAGTTTATGGAAAGAATCGCCAGAACAAATAACGGCAGAACAATGACAAAATTGTATTAGACACACAGAAGACTTTCAGTCTTTTCAAACCGAATGAGTTATAGATGACGTCCGGCCTCTAATTATTCGGATGGACAATTCAGATAGTGATGACTCTGATAGTGAAATATCAGACAGTGAATAAGACAAATCGTCTGCTAAAAAGAAGTAACAAAAGAGTGTTTCGGGAATTCAACTTGGACTTTGTGGTGTGTTTTAGTTAAACGATAAAGTAACTTCGGTCTAATTCTCTCTCTTCAATCCTGACCCCCCAGGGGGAGTGTAGTGGTCGACGTGATGTCGTGTATTGTCCGTCTCCAGAGATCTCTGTCTCTGGTCATTTCTTTTAATTCATGCATAGGTCTTTGGCATATTCCTGTAATTTGATCTATCCATCTTGTTGGGGATCTTCCTCGTGATCTTCGGCCTTCTACCTTTCCTTGTATTATAAGTCTTTCCATGTTTTCTGTGTTTGCTCTCATAACATGCCCAAAATATTTTAATTGTTGGAGACTTTACAAGAGAGTCGTTGGCTAACTTTTAGCTCTCTTAAAATTGAATTATTTGATCTACGGTCGGTCCAAGGAATTCGTAACATTCGTCTTTAACAGAACATTTCAGTGGCGTCTATCTTTCTTCTCTCCGATTGTCTCAGAGTCCAAGATTCACATCCGTAGGTCACTATTGGGAATATTAAGCAGTTGATCAACCTCATCTTTATCGCTCTTGAAATTTGACAGTCCTTCCATATTTTGGTCATTTTTGCTGTGGCAACTTTTGCTAGATCACATCTACGTTTAATCTCTTCTTGTAATGATCCTGTGTTTCGGTCTAATTACTGGACTGCATATTCTCAATAGCTTTGGTATTAATTACTGGACTACACGTGTTTAAACCTTTTATTTTGATGAAAATTCGGAAGTGATTTAGTGCCAATTTGTTTCAAGGTTATATTTAATACAGTATCTACAGAAAGTAAAGTCTTGGATGTATTTTATTCAAATTTGGACATAGCAGCAGCTTGGCAAGTATTTTCCAATTTTACTGCATGCAAAACCATTCCTATAATTTTCACTCTACGCAGAATAAAGACTTTGATGAACATTTGGTGTCGACAAATAATTTCGAGTATTCGAAATATTCCGTCCCACTTCTTTTAACACGGCCTGTATATACATATTATATTCATTTTATTTAATTATTTTATTATTTTAATTATTAATACAGGAAATAAAATATTTTTACTTTTCAGGTCGTCATAGGGCAAAAGGAGTTTAGTTTATATATATTTTTAAGAATACTAAATATGTACTTACGAAAGAGGATGCAAGTTTGTTTAAGACTTGAGATTTTCAAAACATTTTTCCAGCGATTTTTTTGTATAAACATCCAATTTGACAGAAATATAAAACTGTCAGATTTGAACAAATTTTAATTAAATAACCGTTTAATTTTTAATCGTAGTTTCGACAAATACATATGGAAAATAAGGAAGAAATTAATATTGAGAGTGATAATAATTATAACAAAGTGCATATTGGGTATTATACACGATCCAAAAGAAGGAAACTCGAAAATGGAGGAGAACAGTATACTAAAACACCCTACATTTCCGTACACAAAAGGAAGCTATCTCTATTATGTCTTCCAGATGAAATTTTGAGTGTCGTTTTTAAAAATATGTCTAGAAGTGATTTGAGTGAAAATGTGCGTTTAGTCAATCACAGATTTAAAGAATTAGCTGAACGCATTTTAAATATTTCTTTTAAAATAATTGGCAGAAAAATTACTAATCTATCAGCAACCACTGCACTATCGGTACAACGCACTGATGATAACATGGAAACCAAATGTCTTATAAAACTGATAAATATGTTAGAGATTTTAAAAACGCAATATGATATGGTTGTTGCTACTGTTTGGAGATATGTTTACAATGAATATTACAGAACTAACAAATCTTGCATTTTTGCCGGAAAATTGCTTGATGTATATTTTACCTTTATGGATAAATTTTTACACTGTCCATATTTACTTTATGGCCCAACTGTGATAAGGGAATATGATCTTCCTCGTGAGATAACAATGATATTGCAAATGACAAAGAGTTTTTGTGTTCATTTCGATAAGGTAGTTGAGGAACCAGTAATTAATTTTTCGAAACATTATGGCTGTAAAATAATAGACCTAGTTGAGTGTACACAGTTCACAAAAAAAACGATTGTACATGAAAAAATCGTTGGTAAAGATCGCTTTGTTGGAGAATACTACTATTATTTCCGAAATTCGTGGTTTATATCTTTTCCAGTAGAATCTGCCAAAAACTCAGATTGGTATCAATGCATACGTATGATGCACATGCGACTTAGAAGAATCGTGCTGGCTCACAACGAAATGTTTTTGCAACAATTTCAGTATGAACGAGAGTTACATTTCAGACC